CCCATAATGGTAAGGGTTAGCCAAGGGGATCCCTCTTGGTGTCAGGTCTGAGATGACCTACAGGCAACTGCTGTGGTGCCGGGTTTTGGATGTAGGGCTGTAGGGCTGAGTTTCTAGGTTCAAGGTGTTGGGGTGCAGGTTCACTGTGGCAGGGTTGGCTATCGGTTGCCCACAGAAGCAGGATCTGTGACTCTGAGGTACCCATAGCAGCCCAGGCCCAGGGGGTTGGGTTATAGCTGTGATTCTGCCTTGGGTCCCATGGGGTAAGGCACTGTGTAGTCGTGACTCTAGACCTCATGACAGTGAGGCTTAGTCATATGCCACCCTTTGTGAGGCTAGGTGTGGCAGCAGCGAGTGCTCCTGAAGGAACGGCAGAGCACAGCTATTGTTTAGGGCGCGGGGGAAGCGGGGAACAGGGAACGGCACAGCGATGACTTCACTCCCCAGGGAGAGGGCTGTCTCAGCAGCTCAGGCTCTTAGGGGGCTAGTGCAGCTTCCGGGAAACGGGGTACTGGAGTTGCTTGGCCTGTAGGGAGGAGTGTCTCAGGTCAGCCACTGCTCTGTCTCGCTGGGACACGGAGTCTTATGTCAGCTTGGCCCTGGGATGCCAGTCGCTCAGACCAGCCAGGTCACCAGTTCCCCAGGGCAGGACGTGCCACTTCAGCTCAGGCCTGGGGGACATGACTGTTCTGCGTAGACCAGGCACCATTGCCCTGGGATGAAATGTGTCACTTCAGCTTAGGTACTGGGGCGTGTGGCACTCTGCATGGCCACGGCGCTGTCTCCTGGGATGTAGGGCACTGCTGGGACTTAGGTGCTGGGGAGGAGGAGGCAGGTGGCCCACCTCGGCTCTGGCCCAAAGGGGGAGCGGGGAGGTGGGTGGGGTAGGTGGAGTGGTTCCACCTCTGGTTGGTCCCATGGGGAAGAGGGTAACAGGTGGTCACAGCTCAGCCTGGGGACGTTGGGCCACTGGGCCGAGGTGGTTCAGCGGTGGCCTGGCCTCAGGGATGAAGGGAAGCTGCGGCGACTCCCCCCAGATCGAGACACACTCCAGCCATCGTTTGAGTTCTGAGATGGCCTGGTGCCGTGCTGGGCAGGCCTCGTGGGGCTGGCTCAGCGTCAGCCCCTTCTCTGGGGGCAGCTATCTATGGACTCTGGGCTGCTCCCTCAGCTGGGACAAGTGCCTGTGAGGTCTCAGGGGACCCAGTGCTAGGGTCTGTAGGTGTCCGAGGTGTTGCTGGGATCCTCTCGCTTGTGTTCTCAACACGGAGAAGTCGCTCCTGGTCCCCAGCTGTGATCCTCGTTGGAGGGTGGTGTGGTGTAGGCCTGCCATTGCCTCTAATTCTCCATGTGGCTCGCATGAGTGTCTGTTACCCCTCTAATCCACTTTGGTGCTGTCCCTCAGGTATTTCCATTAAAATGTAGTTGTTCATGCATTGTTCTGGCTGACAAGCGCTGGGGGCATCTCCTCGGCCCTCTTGCTGATGTTACTTCCTCTTAATTAGTATTAAAGAGAAGAATATGTTGAGAGCATCGTTAATTGACACGTAGAAATTAGAGTCTACGTGTTAGTTCGCGAGGGCTGCCGCAACCAAGTGCCGCAGAAATAACAACAGAAATTTGCTATTTCATAGTTCCGGAGGTGAGAAATCCAAAATCAAGGTTTGGGCAGGGCTGGTTCCCTCTGAGGGTTGAGAGGGAAGGCTGTGTTCCAGGCCTCTGTCCTTGGCTTGTAGATGACTCTCTTCTTCCTGTGTCTCTTTGCATCATCTCTTCTCTATGCGTACCTCTGTGTCCAAATTTCCCCGTTTTATAAGGACACTGGCCACATCAGATTAGGGTTAATCCTAATCACCTCATTTTTGCTCGGTTACGTCTATAAAGACCCTATCTTCAAATAAAGTCCCACCTTCTGGGGTACTTTGGGTTAGTTAGAACTTCAACATATGAATTGGATGAGCACACGGTTCAGCCTGTGACATCTCACCCACCGGCCACTCAGAACATGTCTTCCTTACGTGCAAAATACATTCACCCCATTCCAACATCCCACGAAATCCTAACTCATTCCAGCATCAACTCTTAAGTTCCAAATCTCATCTGTGATGGTCGATTTGATGTCAGTTTGACTGGCTAGAAGATGTCCACGTATTGGGGCAAATGTTAATTCTGGGTGTCTCTGGATGGGATTTACGCGTGAATCGGGAGCCTGGGTGAAGCAGATTGCCCTTCCTAAGGTGGGCTGGCTTTGTCCCATCAGTACAGGGCTTGAATAAAACGGAAATGCTGGGTAAGAGGCAACCCCTCCTGCCTGACCACCTTGGAGCTGGAACATTGGTTTTTCTTTTTTACTGCCTTTGGACTGGAACTGTATTTTTGAGTCCTCAGCTTGCCAACGACAGATCTTGGGATTTGTCAGCTTCCATAATTGCATGGGCCTTGTGACAAATCTCCTACACACGCACGCACACACACACGCACGCACACACACGTCCTGTTCTGTTTCTCTGGAGAACGCTGACTAATTCATCATCTAAACATCATTTCAATCGAGCGTGGGCGACACTCGAGGTATGATTCAGCCCGAGGCAAAATTGATCTACAGCTGTGAACCTGTGAAATTAGACAAGTTATTTGCTTTCAAAATGCAGTGGTGGGGGCGGCATAGGACAGAAATTTCCATTCTAATAGGGAGAGAGCAGGAGGAGGAGGAAAGGGGTCATGTCTGAAACCTAGCATGGAAAATTCCGTTAGATTCTAAGGCTTAAGCAGCCTTTTGGGTGCCATGTTCTGTCCTCTAGCCCATTGGGGAGGTGGCTCCACCCTCTGGGCCCACTGAGGACCGGTGGCCTCACACAGCTGGTGCAGTGGCAGCCCACAGGCCTCTGAACCATCGTCAGGGTCATTCTTTCCTTTTTTTTTTCTTTTTTTCAGATAGAGTCTCGCTTTGTTACTCAGGCTAGAGTGGCGTGGCATCAGCCTAGCTCACAGCAACCTCCAACTCCTGGGCTCAAGTGATCCTCCTGCCTCAGCCTCCCGAGTAGCTGGGACTACCAGCATGTGCCATCATGCCCGGCTAATTTTTTCTATATAGATTTTTAGGTGTCTGGCTAATTTCTATTTTTAATAGAGATGGGGTCTTGTTCTTGCTCAGGCTGGTCTCAAACTCCTAACCTCCTCCTGCCTCATCCTCCCAGAGTGCTAGGATTACAGGTGTGACCCGCTGCGCCTGGCCTCTGTTTTTTTTTTTTTCTTTGTTTTTTTTTATTAAAAAGATAATACTTGTTCACAGCCAGATAGCTCTGTCAGGTCATTTCCTGGCAACAGAATCCCAGAAGTCTAACAGCTTTCCTTTGTTTCGTCCCATTATTTCCAAGATGTCATTGTTTCAGGTAGCATGAAATTCTCAAAAACCTTGGTGGCCTCCCGGGCACGATTCAAGCTGTCAGACAAAAGATAATCTTTTCTATATAACTGTATCTCTGTTCTTGACGTCTGCTGAGGTGGTTGATTGGAACCATGAGTCACCTGCCTAATGTCTTTAGCAAACTGTTGTTCGCCCACACCCTGGGTCCTATTTGCAAGGCATGTTATCTGGATGGACTGAACATTTTCCAAACCTTCAGGTTCTAGTTGGTTTTGCTTAATGGTTCCCACTTCAGTTTATCTTTTTCCACTTGTATTTTGCTCTAAGCAGCAACGAGAAACCAGACTACGCCTTTAACGCTTTGCTTAGAAATCTACGCAGCTGAATATCTGCCTTTATTTCTTGCAAATTCTGCTTGCTACAAAACATCAGAAAACAACTGGGCCAGCTCTGCCATTTTATAACAAATATTGTCTTTCCTCCAGTTTCTAAAAACATCTTCCTCATTTCCATCTGATGCCTCTGAGACCTGTAATGTTTATATCACTAGCGACATTCTGTTTATGACAGTGTATGCATTTTCTAAGACAATAGGAGCTTTCTTTACAACTGTTTTCTTTTCTTTCTGAGCGCATGCCAGCATCTCCTTTCACGTCCATATTTCTACCAGCATTCTCATCCAGGTAACCTAGGATTTTACTATGAACCTCTTCAGAATCTTCTAGGCTCTACCTACCCCCAATTCCAGAGTCTCTTCTACATTTCTAGGTGTTTGCTATTGTAGCGCCCCACTTCCTGGAACCAAAATCTGTATGTAAGGGTTCTCCAGAGAAGTAGAACCAATAGGAATAGGATGCATGTGTATATGTGTGAGAGAGGGAGAGAGAGAGAGACTGAGACTCGCTTTAAAGAATTGATTCACGTAATTTTTTTAAAAAAGAATCCATTTTATTTACTAAAGATTATTAAATTCATGTGAACTAGAAAAGCATCAATAAGGCCGGGCGCGGTGGCTCACGCCTGTAATCCTAGCACTCTGGGAGGCCGAGGCGGGCGGATCGCTCAAGGTCAGGAGTTCGAAACCAGCCTGAGCAAGAGCGAGACTCCATCTCTACTAAAAAATAGAAAGAACTTAATTGGCCAACTAAAAATATATAGAAAAAATTAGCCGGGCATGGTGGTGCACATGCCTGTAGTCCCAGCTACTCGGGAGGCTGAGGCAGGAGGATCCCTTGAGCCCAGAAGTCTGAGGTTGCTGTGAGCGAGGCTGATGCCACGGCACTCGCTCTAGCCTGGGCAACAGAGTGAGACTCTGTCTCAAAAAAAAAAAAAAAAGAAGAAGAAAACCAGAATATATCCCCAAATCAAAATCAGGATCCCAAACAAGAACTTCTAGGAGATGAACCAACAGCTCAGAATAAACCAGGACTGTCAACCCAGATCGTGAGGTCCGGGGCCTGGGAGGACCAGTCCTGCCCAAGAAGCTCAGAGTTGAAGTGCCCACGGGGGCTGCTGTGAGAATTGGAAGAAATTCCATCTTTCATGCCTCTCAGCTGCAGCATGGGAGGATAACTTCACAAACTCCGCACGACTTTGGGCTAACCGTGTTTCCCTCTCTCTGGTCTTCCGGCAGGCAGGAATTTGTGGAAGCGTACGTGAATTATGTCTTCCAAATCTCAGTTCACGAGTGGTACACGGCCTTCGCCAGCGGCTTCCTGAAGGTGTGCGGCGGCAAAGTGCTCGAGCTCTTCCAGCCCTCGGAGCTGAGGGCCATGATGGTGGGGAACAGCAACTACAACTGGGAGGAGCTGGAGGAGGTAGGCCCTGGGGACGCCGTCCTGTCGCCGTGGCGAGGCTGTGGCAGTGGCCCGGTGGGGGCCCAGAGCCTGGTCTCGTTCAGAGACCAGTGGCTGCGTCGGATTTTGGGGGCTCCTGTGTGTCAGTCGTTAGTTCTCAGCCCCAAATGCGAAAGGTATACAATGTCCAGTGTGATAGCCGCCGTCTTCTGTAAGACGCGTATTTTTCCTTTGTGTCTTTTCTGGACAGACTGCCATTTACAAGGGGGATTACTCAGCTACACATCCCACTGTGAGACTATTTTGGGAGACATTTCATGAGTTCCCATTGGAAAAGAAGAAGAAGTTTCTCTGTAAGTATCAATAGTATCAATGTGGTATTTGTCCAGATTTCAGTCTTACATGTAGTAGAGGATGACATACTGCATAGGTGAGGTTTAGCGCTTTTAAATGGTAAATATATTCACATTTTTTGTCTTAATGTTGTCTCAGCCACAACATACTGTGTTTCCCCGAAAATAAGACAGGGTCTTATATTTATTTCTCCTTAAGAAGACACCCTAGGGCTTATTTTCAGGGGATGTGTTATTTTTTTTAAGTACGGTACAACAATCTACATTTGCTCAAATAGAGTGAAGTTGTCTTCTTCTGGAACATTATCCTCACTCTCCAAGTCCCGAATCCCATCCTGAATTTCTTGCAACTCTATTTCCTCTAGAGCCACCGGCCCTGATCTCTCCTGTCAAGCACTAGAGCTCTCACGGGGCGGATGAGAAGGGCTGCTCGTGTTCTTTCCCGCTCTGCGACGACACGCATGGGTTGTGCAGATGCCCTGTGCAGCCACGCCCGTCACTAGGGCTGATTTTCATAGCCACGCCCATCACCAGGGCTGATTTTCATAGCCACGCCCATCACTAGGGCTGATTTTCAGGGTAGGGCTTCTATTGTACACGTGCTTAGACATCCCGCTAGGGCTTATTTTATGGGTAGGTCTTATTTTCGGGGAAACCCAGTAGGTGGTTAATCCATGTCTTTTGCCTAAATGAGGGGTTGCATGAAAGGAAGAAAAGAAGCATTTCACTGATTTTCAGTTGTTCTAAAAATACTAATTATTTTACTTGTAAGTGATTCCTTTAAGAATTGCATATATAAAATCATCGTTGCCATTAACCTCCCTTATCTCCATAGACTATTTTATTTTTCTCCTGCGTAAGGTCTTGCTCTGTTGCCGAAGCTACAGTGCCATGGTGTCGTCATAGCTACTGCAACCTCGAACTACTGGGCTTGGGCGATCCTCCTGCCTCAGCCTCCCGAGTAGCTGGGACTATAGGCATGCGCCACCATGCCCGGCTATATTTTTCTTTTTTTCTGTAGAGACAGGGTCTTGCTGTGTTGCCCAGAGTGGACTTGAGTTCCTGTCCTCAAGCGATCCTCCTGCCAAAGTGCTGGGACTATAGGTGTGAGTGGCTACACCCGGCCTCTGGGCTTTTAAAAATATTACAAAGTATCTACTGCAGGTGTAACTGGGGATATGGGATCTATAGCGGCTTTATTGAGATATAATTCCCATGCCATACAGTTCCCCCATTTAAAGTGTACAATTGAGTAGTTTTCATAGTCGCATCTACACAGTCATGAGACTACCAGAGTCAATTTTAGAAATTGACGTTCATCACGTCAAAAAGAAACCTGGTACCCAGTAGCAATCATTCCTTATTTCTTTCCAACCCCCCCGCCAAATCTGTCTCTGAATTTGCCTATTCCAGACACTTCATATAAATAGAATCGTACAGTATGTGGTCCTTCGTGGCCAGGTGGGTGACATCTGAGAAGGGCCATTACCTTTGGAAAGGAGAGTGAAGTCGAGTTCACACGAACAACTGGAGCCTTTTAACAGTAGTTGAAATCTTTCTGTAGTAGTGCCTGTGTGAAGTCAGGGTCAGAAATTAGCCTGTGAATAGTATAGAATTTTTATCCATATAAAACCAAAAAGAACACCAGGGTTTGAAAGGCAGTCTCCTGCTTTATGAGACCAAGCAGGTATTTATATTACCGCAGGACTTACCCCACATTCTGCTGCTCACGGGAAACCAGGGCGAGAGAAAGTGGAGTCCTTCCACGGGAATTCTTAGAAAGAGCCTTGCTTCTCCTCCGCCCGGCCACACTGGCGATTGAGAAGCTGTGGCATTTGGGCTGAATGACAGGGGAGGGTTTGCCAGGTGAGCTCTGACGGCTGTTGTGACATTCGGGAGAAGCCTGCTGGCCGGTGGTCGGTCCTGAGGGTTTCCGTGGAGAAAGGCATTTTCTGTTCAGATACCAATTACACTTACCAACAGTTTTATTAACTGTGGAGATTTTGGCAAGAGTGTTTCTATATCACAGCCTTAGGAAATGGCAGGTTAGTTGACAGTGCTTCTGAACTAACGATTTAATTATAGTGATTTCCAGCAATCCAACCGTGAGAAAGTTGTCCAGCAACAGAGAACAGGGAACGACAGCTGGGCCAGTCTCTCTCTGGCCAAGTCACTGTGCTTCTCGTTACAAGACTGAAATGTCTACTATAGGCCGGGCGCGGTGGCTCACGCCTGTCATCCTAGCACTCTGGGAGGCCCAGGGGGAGAATCGCTCAAGGTCAGGAGTTTGAGACCAGCCTGAGCAAGAGTGAGACCTCCCGGTCTCTACTAAAAATAGAAATTAATTGGCCAACTAAAAATATATAGAAAAAATGAGCCGGGCATGGTGGCGCATGGCTGTAGTCCCAGCTACTCGGGAGGCTGAGGCAGGAGGATCGCTTGAGCCGAGGAGTTTGAGGTTGCTGTGAGCTAGGCTGATGCCATGGCACTCTAGCCAGGCAACACAGTGAGACTCTGTCTCATAAAAAAAGCAAAAATAAATAAATAAAAATAACCAAAAACCCCAAAACAAACAGAAAAAAGAAATGTGTACTATAAAGTGTGGGTCCACTTCTGTGGCGTAAGAAAAGTGGAGCAACAGGGAAAGCAGAGCAAAAACAGACGCTAAGGGGAGACTCAGCAGCTGAGGTGGCACAGGCATCGTCACTTGAGGGAAAGGGGACCTTGAGGCCACAGAGCCTTGGGTCTTCTTCCTGGTGTCCTCCTGAAGCCAGCTCCTCTTCTCCTCTGTCAGCACTTTCTTCCTCTTGGCTTTTGTGCAAGCTCGTACAACGTGTGAGGCGTGTGTGTGATTGAGATGGTTTCTTTCTTTCTTTCTTTTTTTGAGACAGAGTCTCACTCTGTTGCCTGGGCTAGAGTGCCGTGGCGTCAGCCTCGCTCACAGCAACCTCCAACTCCTGGGCTCAAGTGATCCTCCTGCCTCAGCCTCCCGAGTAGCTGGGACTGTAGGCATGTGCCACCATGCCTGGCTGACTTTTTTCTATATATATTTCTAGTTGGCCAATTAATTTCTTTCTATTTTTAGTAGAGACGGGGTCTCACTCTTGCTCAGGCTGGTCTCAAACTCCTGACCTTGAGCGATCCTCCCGCCTCGGCCTCCCAGTGTGCTAGGATTACAGACATGAGCCACCGCGCCCTGCAGAAACGGTTTCTTTTTTGAGGGCTTTCCTTAGCATCATCCCACCTGACACACGGTGGCAGGTGAACATGACTGCACTTCTCGTGTGAGCCACAGGGGGGCGCTCCTTCCCCTCTGGTCGCAGGGAGGTGGGTCCCCCTTTGCCCGGCTGTTACCGCCCTGCCCCTCTCCCCGCAGTGTTCCTGACGGGCAGCGACCGGATCCCCATCTATGGCATGGCCAGCCTGCAGATCGTCATCCAGTCCACGGCCAGCGGCGAGGACTACCTGCCGGTGGCCCACACCTGCTACAACCTGCTGGACCTGCCCCAGTACCGCAGCAAGGAGACGCTGTGCGCGCGGCTGTCGCAGGCGCTGGACAACTACGAGGGCTTCAGCCTGGCCTGAGCCCCGGCGCCCCGATCCCCTTCCTTCCCGTGTCCGCTCAGAGAATCACGGGGAGCGATTTCTATTTTTTTATCGTCCGAGGGGGTTGAGACTTTCGGATCCTGAACCTGGAGCATTCGTCTCTGGGGGGTCGCAAGGCAGCGAACCCACCTTTCTGAAAAGGGGGGGCTTCGGGATGGGGTGGAAGAACTTGGCTCTTGTCCGGGAGGTGGTTTTGTTTTTCTGTTTTAAACCCAACTACCCAGTGGCCCTCGTTCTCGTGACTGTGTTGCACTCTGCCGGGTGACATGGCAGTGGCTTTGGACACCGTCATTCCCCAGGTGTGTCTCGGCCCCGACCGTTGGCATTCTTCTGCAAGGATGGTTCGACCCCTGCGTCCGTCCTCGCCTGCCTGCGCGTGCAGAACAACATCTCCCTGTTGTCGCAGCAGCCGCGCACGGACGTGCCCCCCGGCTTGTCCCAGCCCCGCTCTAGCCCGCAAAAGGAGGACAGGCCCACTTGAGAGACTCCCAGCTCCAGAACGCTGAGGCTGGGTCCCTTACTACTGAGAATTTCTGGGAGCCTTGATAAACACATCTTGCTTATTAAAAAAAAAAATTCTCAAGGGGGATAGCAACCCTCCCACGGCTGTGCCCGTTCCCTAGGCCTTTCTAAAGATGCGCAGAGCAGCTTAGCGTCCCAGCCGAGCCTGATTTTGTTTTGTCGCTCAGCCTCATCCCTGTGACGATAAGGTGAATGGACAGACCCCTTCCTGTCCTGCTGTCTGCACCCGGAGCAAGTTGCATCGATTATGTTGAGTCTCTGTATTGTCAGAGAGAAAAGTTAGAAATGATAAATTTCTTGTCCCGTTCTCTATTGCTGTATACCAGGCGTCCTCAAACGACGGCCCGCGGGCCACATGCCGCCCGCCTAGGAGTTATCTGGCCCACCCGGTGTTTTTGTCACCGCTGCCTGTCCTGCTTAGCAGCCGGCTCGTCCCGGGCCCACAGTGCGCACTCTCCAACGGTCTGAGGGACGGTGGACTGGCCCCCTGTTTAAAAAGTTTGAGGACCCCTGAGTCCATATTCTCCACCCCTTTCTCTTCCCTCCTCTCCCCCCCTCCTTCCTCCCTCACTTTACTTTCATTCCTTCCTCACTTTACCCATTCTTTGTTACTTGTTATAGTGGTCCTTCCCCCTGCTCTTCCTACTGGATGCATGCAGTCTGTTTTCTTAAATTTTTATTTAAATTGCAAAATTTCCACTCAGATTTTGTTTTCTTTCCCTCTTCCCTAATCGCTAAGCCATAAGGACATTCTTTATTATGGAACTTTGTTTATCGCTTTTGAAACGTCTGTTTACAGTGGGATTTTAGGGGCGATTGTGTTTAAATCAAATACGTGTATCTCCAAAATAATGACGTGCTCAACCTTCCTCATCATGGGCTAAGAAAATTCTAGATGATTAAAAGAATCCATGTAAGCCTACTTTTAAATTCCTAGTGACTAGAGAAAAGACTTATTTATATAAAATGGAGTATTTATGAACCGTGACACGGCATCGAACCTCAATGAAGGATTGTAGATTTTTGCTTTTGCTTTTTGTTTTTAAAACTTATTCCAATTGCTGAATTGGTAGATTTTCAGTCTTTATAAATATAAGATTAAACAAAAAAGATATACAGTTATATGAGATGTTTATTTTCTATGTGTGTGCATATAGTTCAATATTATGCAATAAATTTGGTGTTTTAACTTAAAACCATTTCTTATTGTACTTGCAGAATGGGACAGCTTGCTTTCAGTGGGCGCATTAGGTCATGTGATATTCATAGAAGGTCACATTTGATTCCTGCCGTAAGAGAGTAGAACAGAGAGCTGCAGAAATGGAGACGACAGCCGGGGCTTGAGCAGGTGGCGTTGGGCGGGAGGGGACTTCTGAAGATGGGGACGGACAAGAAGGCATTTGTCACAGAGACGAGAGGCTTCAGCCACGGCTCAGACATGGGGGCGCATGATAGGGAAGCCAGGAATGGTTTGAAGGGACATCACAGGAGAACAATGGTAAATAATGAGAAATAAAGCCGGGCGCGGTGGCTCACGTCTGTAATCCCAGCACTCGGGGAGGCCGAGGCAGGAGGATCGCTCAAGGTCAGGAGTTCGAAACCAGCCTGAGCAAGAGCCAGATCCTGTCTCTATTAAAAACACAAAGAAATTAATTGGCCAACTAAAACAATTCAGAAAAAATGAGCCGGGCATGGTGGCGCATGCCTGTAGTCCCAGCTACTCGGGAGGCTGAGGCAGGAGGATTGCTTGAGCTTAGCAGTTTGAGGTTGCTGTGGGCGTGGCTGATGCCATAGCACTCTAGCCCGGGCAACAGAGTGAGACTCTGTCTCAAAAAATATATATATATATTAGAAATAAAACTGGGGAGAAGGAAGGTAGATTTGGGGCTGGGTACCCAGGCCAAGCACTGGGGCGTGAGTGGCTAGCCACGCAGGATCTGTTCAGGCATTCAGAGCATTGGAGTGACAAAACCCGAGCCGGGTCCTAAGGAGGAAAATGTGGACGGCATCAATTTGGAGGTGTCGGAGTGGGAAAGACAGACGACGAAAGGCAGCAGCTCAGAGCAGGGGTGGTGGTGGTGGCAGTGGAGAAGAACGTGACCAGAGCCATTGGGGACAAGCCGGCGGAGGTGGCCACTGCAGGGGGACTAAATGGGGCATCAGAGACCTGTCTGTGTCGTGACTGATGATCATTCGCCCACTTACACACCAAACATGTATGACACACAGCAATTCTCAATAAATCAGTCAAACAAGTGCAATGTGTTGTTTCGCTAGATTTGATAGATGGTTTAAAGGTGGCGAAGAGAACAGTTCTATTAATAAGCTCCGTTCAACATTCATGGATTTTTCTGGGATATTTTCCTTTTTTCCCCCATCATCATTTATTGCTTTAGAAGACTCGAATCTCCAAGCTCGGCCTTTCTGGATTTGCCCACCCACCACCGACGGACCCGCCCTGCCATGCAAAACTCTGGATGTTTCTTCATTGTTTCAGTCCTTAACCAATTTCGTGAAATTCATTGGCAACTTTTTTTTTTGGTGGATGGGGTTTCATGAAAGTATATACGTAGGCGATTAGCAAATTTTGAGCATTCTGTCTATTCCATGTGAAAGCTTTTAGAGGATTAATAATAATCCATTATTAATAATATCCATTAATAATCCCATAGAACAGTGCTTGGCAAACTCTACGGCCCATGAACTATGGGTTTTTACATTTTTAAAATGGGTGACAGTTGTCAAAAAGGAAGGACATGTTGACGGAGACTGCATGGCCTACAGAGCCTAACGTGTTAATATCTAGTACTTTCCAGAAGAAATTTGCCAGCCCTTGTTGGGACCAGACTTGGAGGAATCCTAATAAACTGAGTGGATGATCTTCCTGAAGTTTTAGGAAGAACTCGAGTCATAATTTGACACTGAATCAGGGAGAAAACAAGTGTTTGGATTTTTCTGCTACAGAGGTAAGAAAATCAAGTTTTGTTTAAGATTAACCCACAGAAGTAGCTGGTAAGATTTTTAACTGTAAGAATAACTAATCCATATTAATGGTATATTGGATACCAGACTCTGCACCAATATTTGCTAGCACTGTCGGATGTAATTGTCACCATGGACCTCTTGTCTCTGCTGTTTACTAGCTGTGTGGCCTTGGGCAGGTTTCTTAACCTCTCTGTGCCTGTTTCTTCGTATGCAAAAATAAGGACAGAAATAGTACCTACCTCCTGGAGTTGTTATGAGGATTAAATGAATTCATGGGACACACACAGAGCAAGGCCTAGCATACAATTAGCTCTCAGTAACTACCATGAACACTATTATATCAGTTTTTTTCACAGGAGAAAGTTAACGTTCAGAGAAAATAACTTGCTCGTTTTCACAGAATTGTGGGACCTAGACTTGAACGTTAAATGGTGTCATGCGTAGCTGCTAGAGAGCGACAGCAAAGTGACTGAGGCTGCTCGTTGGCCATCGTGAATGAGCAGGTGACTTCTTTGACCACACATCTGGAAAGACATTGTGGTAAGTTTGTTTTGCCTTCGTGGTGTGTGTGTGCGTTGTGTGCATGTCAGTAGTAATGAGGCATGCGGTTCTCATGTCACCTGCAGTGGGTCCCAAATGGACCCGGGCATTTAGTGGTCGGGGGCCAAATGTGCTTAATGCCTTTCACTGCAAGAGTCCCCTTTATGCCACCAGAGAGGCCAGTCGGCCCTACTGTGGTCTGAATGTTTGTGTCCGTCTAAAAGTCACGTGTTGAAACCTAATCTTGAAAGGTGACAGTATTAGGAGGTGGCCTTTGGGGGGTGATGAGATCTCGAAGAGAGAATTCTAATGGCAAGACAGAGCGAGAAGGCGCTTTCTACGAGAAAGTGGCCCTCACCAGACACAACCAGCGCCGTGCTCTTGGACTTCCCGGCCCCCAGAACTGTGAGAAGTAAATTTCTGTTTATAAGTCGCCCGGTCTATGGTATTTTGTTATAGGAGTGAGCATGAATGGACTAGTGATGGGCATTCTGACTGATAGAAGACGATATCTCATTGTGGTTTTAATGTTCACTTCTCTGCTGATTAGTGACGTTGAGCATTTCTTCATATGCTTGTTGGCCATTTGTGTATCTTCTTTTGCAAATGTCGGTTCATGTCCTTTGCCCATTTTTTAATGGGATTACTTGTTTTTCTGGGAATTAGTCCCTCATCAGATACACAGTTTAAAAATATTATCTCCCATTCTGCAGGGCATCTTTTCGCTCTGTTGATTATTTCTTCTGCTGTGTGAGTCCTGTTGTCCGTTTTCTGTTGACTGTGCTTTCCAGATCTCAGTCATGAGTTTTTTGCCGAGGCCAGTGTTCAGAAGAGTTTTTGTTCTGATGTATTCAAGGTGCCATTCTTGTCTTCGAACAGTTTCTAGTGAATGAGAAACCACAACAGGCCAGTCTCCCCCAGTGGCAATGTCTTATAGCCCCACGGCACATGTATCGAAGCTAAGGAGCCAGTGTGGGGAAACTACTCTTAACTAAACTCCTAATTTGGATTTTACCAGTTTCCGCTGATATCTTTTTCCAGGGTCCAATCCAGGGTCCCACACGCATTTATTTAGGTCAACAGGCCCAACGAGTATTGGGGTTCAAGGCTTTGACTCTGGCACGAGATGGAAGTGGAGATATTTTGTGTCATCTTTGCCTCCCTGGGAAGTCATGCTACGTGATCTTGGGACACAGCGTAACGTGATGGGCCTCTTAGGACAGGTAGGTCACCGGGCCACCCCCCGGGCCCCGGGAGACCCTCAGCACACAGGTGAGCCCCCTCTCACCAGGCAGGAATGAGTTTCCCACTGGAAAATACCTTGTATGAGGAGGGAAAAGGTGGTTTGCATTATACGTTTGGCCATTTCTGGGTTAAAGAAAGTTAAACTTTATTGCAAGAATTCTTAGATAAAACCTTTGTGAATCTCTAAGAGGGAATAGAGTGCATACCATTCTTCTTTTTCTTTTTTTTTTTTTTTGAGAAGAGTTCACCTCTGTTGCCCACGCTACAGTGCAGTGTCATAGCCTCCTGACAGCACCTCCACTCCTGGCTCAAGCGATCCTCCTGCTCAGCCTCATCCCAAAGCTAGCTGGGATACAGCATGGCGCACCATGCCCGAGGTCTAAGCTTTTTCTAATATACCTTTTTGGTTTGGCCAATTAGTTTCTTTCTAATTTTAGTAGAGACGGGGTCCAGCTCTTCTGCTAGGCTGGTTCGAACTCCTGATCCTGAGTGATCCTCCTGCCTCCGCGTCCAGAGTGCTAGGATGCACAGCGGGCAGGCAACCGCTGCCAGCCCAAAAGAGCAGATTCTGAAATACTGTCACCCCATTCCCCATGGGGTCGTAAGAGGCCAGCGCTCTTGAGGACAGATGTGACAGCAAAGAGCCACTGTCTGCTCGCGTCCCAGCAGGGCGGCTGGGCCCAGCCAGCAAGCTCTTGCTAAAAATGGATTCTTTGACCCTTTCGGCCGGGTGTTCCCAGGAGCCTCAGAATGTTGTGACCCAAGTCTAAGACATACATCAGACAGTTTCATTGATTGAAAAATATAGATGACCTGAAGTGCAATTTCCGTGATAGGGGAACGCAAAGCCTTGTTCGAGGAGCCTGTGACATCGCTGACTCTGGAAGCCTGTCCTCCTGCCTGGTGTCCGCCAGGCCGATGGGGCCATGGGCGACCCGGGTATCTCTTCTCGCGTGGCCGTGGTTTTGATAAATCTGTATGCCTTGAGCGAGAGCTGCCAGAATCACGCGCCAGCTCTCCAATGTACGTTAGCTTTAGTTGTTCCAAACACACCGTGAGGGCGCGCGTGGCTCCGCTGTCATCGCAGCATCTGGGAGGCCGACGCCTGGAGCATTGCCCAGGTCAGGAGTCCGAGACCAGCGACGCAAGCGAGACCGTTCTACAAGGATTATGACCAACATACATATAGAAATATTAGCCCGGGCATCGGTGGCGCATGCCCTGTAGTCCCAGCTTCTACGGGGAGCTGACGCGGACATTGCGCTGAGCCAGGACTGGAGGTGCCTTGTGAGCCTCAGGCTGCACCACAGCACTCTAGCCGGGCAACAGAGTGGACTCTGTCTCCAAAGCAGGCATCCTGTGCCGGGCACCGCCACCACCTCCATCCGGGGTTTCCGTGCGTCAAACGCCGAGCTGGGCGCCGGCGTCAGACAGGAACGGACGCGTTACTGAGGTTGTTCCTCGGACGGCTGCGTTGTCGCTGGTCTCGGCCACCGTTGCATCCAGTCACGTGCGCTGGTCCGCCCTGGGCCAGCGGCACCGTCCTTAAGCGTGTTCCTCGCGGTCAGACCGATTTCAGGGGCGCCAGCTCTCCTCTGCAATTGAAAGTGTTTGGCAAGCAGGGTCACGGCTTGTCACAGGCCGGAACTCACGGCCGGTCACGCCTCACGGCGTCTGCCCAGTGCGGCTTGGGCCTGACGGGCGACGGCTTCCTGCAACTGCGAATTGCGCTAAGGACGTTAAAGAGAAGAGCGAGCCACTTGCGGGACGGGGACGGCCCGCACACGCGCCGGCTGCCCCGCGGCTTCTGGCTCGCATTTCCGCTGCGTTTCCTGCCGGCCACACGGCCACCTCGCAGCGACACAGCCCGGTGGCGGGAGCCGGAGGGACGCAGAGAACCGTGCTGAGCCGTAGCGCCGCGCCTCCAAGGGGCATTTTGGGGTTCTGAGCGTCGGCTCGTGTGAGCCCCGTGCGACAGAGCCCGGGGATGATTCTGATGGCCTTTGGTCTCAGGAGGCCCGGCCCGAGTTGCAGGACGCTCTGGTCCCTCAAAGGACGTGACGGACACTGAAGGAAAGGGTCGCCGGCATTTGCCCCTGCGACCAGGAGGTCCCCAGGGCGACGCGTCTGGGCAGCTGACCAGCGGGCACCGCGAGGAATCCGTTTCCGCTCTAGGACGAGGCCCTGCTCCAGGCCTGCGCGGTCAGCCTTTAGGTCGGTTTGTATATATCGTATATATTTTTAGGTGTTTATGGTTTTTATGTTTTATTTGAAGAAAATGAGAGAGTGCAAACATTTTGGTTGATTATTACTATCTTTGCTCTCCTGGCAAGAGGGTGGGGGGCCCTGCCTTGCCTCCGCGAGCTCCGCCCGCGTCCCCAGAAGTGGTGTCACACCCAACCAATCCTCTGGGGACAACCCCGAGTTGAGCACCACAGTGTCAGTCGGTGCAGGGGAGGCACATTCTTCATGCTTGCTGTTGTCGCTTGCAGTGTATCGGCCCCGCGCCCTGGGGGGGCGCCGGCGTGCCCACCTGGGGCGTCGCCCTCTGTCACCCGACTCTGCAGATGTGACGGTGAGTCGCTCACCTGGCACACCTGAAACGCGCCGCCTTTTCTCAAAGCACCACGGTTTTCACGCCCCTCCCTCATTCCGAATTATTTACCTCTGATGGCCTTGTAGACTTTGGAGAGCTTCTTAGTTTTGTTTTTTTTTTTTTTTTACAAAAACTGGCTGGAACGCCTCCGCGCCTGCACCTTCCCGCGCCTCCGACGGCGGCTGCGGGCCGGAGCGCAGAGCACGAGCCGCGTGGGCGGCTGCAGCTCCCGGTCCCCTCCCCCAAACCTGACCCTCCCGAGGCTTCTGAGGGGCCCCTGGGAGCCGCCGGCTCCCTACAGAAGGGAAAGGTCAGTTTCCCCTCGGGGACAGTTCGGTCACATGGTCCCGGGGACAATGCCAACAATTTCATAACCCCCACAGTGAAAAATAGCTTATTTTTAAGTTTGTACAAAATCCAATCGTGTACATAATGCTTTTCATTCAATTTCCACTTTTAAAAAAAGGACAATGGCAATTTCAAATGCTTTCCGCTCCCGTGTCACCGTTCTGGGCCCGTGTTGTTCACTCTGGCTTTATGCGTTTCTGGAGGTTTCCGTGGCCGGGTACCCGTCTGTCAGAGGGAGAACTGGATCTGCCGAACCTGCTGCTGGAGCCACACACGTGATCACGCCTGGCCTGCTTCCAGGCAAAATGACATTCGCTAGAGACATAGCTGCAGGTTGGTAGCAAGAAGTTGTAAGTGTGCGTAGACTGATTTTATGCGTGTACCGGTGTCGGTCTGCGGTTCGGCCCCAGCCTGTGTACACGCACGCACACGTGTCATGAAGGATCGTGGTAGAGGACATAGATCTCTGCTTGGGACAGGGGCCAGTGCCACCGTGTGGTGCCAGCGCGTATACCTGGATATTGCTCTTGTTTGGAGCGTGCCCGTCGGCTGCCATTCGAAACGGTGCCAGTGTGCACAATTTGAACTTAGAAAATGTTTACCCAGTCTTTTAACAAAATAGACTCTCAAGGGCATTCTGAAGGTCAAATGGGAAAAACAACGAAAGGCATTAACGAAGGGACGGAAAGCACGTTCTGGGTCCTGCAAACACGTGGCCTCGGAGGAAACACGGCTCCGACATCCTAGCGTCAGTTTGTCCCTCCCCGCTGATGTACCCAAGTGGGTCCCGGGAAAGAACGTCGCGAGGCCTTGGTCTCGGTGGAGAAGCCACCTCTCCCCAGCCGGGGCAGAGCGACGCAGGAAGCAGCGTGGCGGGAGAGCCCCCCGTGACGACAGTCGGGACCACGACCAGCCGTCGCAAAGCAGTGACAGCCGTGGTGTGCGGTTATCTGTATAGATAGCATCAAAGCAGGAAAGTGAAACCCTGAAGAAAATGGCATCTCATCATCAGGTTAAAAATCTCTAAAGAAAAAAATCAATCAACAAACTTCAGAATGTGTTTTTCTGTGATCAGTTCTGGACACCAGGCCCAATTCCGTCTCCTAAGAACCGGGTGACCCCCAGAGAGAGCAAGAATTAATCAGCAGTCGCGCCCACCGCTTTATTCTGATGCAGACCTGGCACGTGCTCACCGCGCAAGGAGTTCCCAGCTCAGCCACGTGCACGAGTGCTCAGCGCTCCGGCGAGACTGCTGGCCTCGGGACATCTTAATACAGTATTTGTGACACGAACACGGCCCTGAGGCATTTGTCCTGGGCTTAGACATGTGTCACCTGGGAGCAGGCGCACACTGCCAGAGGCCGTTCCCGCTGCACGCAACGTTGCATCAGAATGCGACAAAGCAAAAATCACGCTGCTGTTCCGGCCGGTTCCGGCCCTGCCAATGGATGACAATCTTTTGACTTCAAACCGGCAACCAAAGGGAAGAAATCTTATCTAAACCCTCTCGATGCATTTAAAAAAAAAAAAGACAATATGCCAGTTTGAAATTTGATTTGGTCTTTAATGGAAATTTCCCTGAGTTGGAAGATGGCCAAGGTTGTGGCAGCCTGCTGCTGCTGCCAGCGCAGGACGAGCTTCTCAGCAGGCCTTTATCCTAGCCCTGTACTCACGCGTCTCAGAAAGTGAACTTGAACCTGAAGGATTCCGAGGTGAAACGCAGGAATGATATCATAACATAAACACCTATTTCAGTGTTTTACTCCAGAATGAACACAGTAAGAGCACGCGCGTAGGAAAATTACAAGCTGCTGGCATCTCTGGTTCTTATCATGTGATCAAGTTTGTTTATGCTTTTACCTTTACTTATCACTGTCATTAAACAGCCCGCGACACTGGCCTTGTTGGCATGCACCAGCGCACACACACATTCCCACGAGAGCAAAGGAGAAACCCAGTCCGGAGCAGCTGTCTGTGCGAAGCCAATTAAGCTGCAGCCTCTGGCGCGGCGACATCCCGGGCTGCACACACGGTTGCCAGGGAAACACATTGGCCTCGGCAGAGCCAGGGACCGCCGGCTCACCCGCCTTCGCATCGGCGCTCGGGTAAACAGCGCTCCCGGCTTTGTTTGGGCTCCCTTCCATGAAGCACAGATTAGAAACTACAAAGGAAAACACGGAATTGCATACAAAATTTATTTTACTATTACTTGGTGTTTCCTTTTATTGGATCATACAAATTTGAATGGAGATTCCTGAATAAATCTTTTGATTTACCTTTGGCAGAAACAACAGATTTCAAAACATTTAGTAGCTTCTTATTTATATGGAGCTTAAAAAAAAAAATCTGTAGCATATTTTTTCCAAAAGAAATACTCTTAAACAGATGTGCTTTAAAATTTAACTGGTAATGATTTGATTTATAGCATAGCTTATTTAAGAGAACAATTATTTTAAAAAGACAGACCAGACATGTATTTCTTTAAAAAAAACACAATTTTTGGTCATGTGAATGATTGATGATGTTTTCAAAAATAGAAAATGTCCTAAAGTGCATCGTTTTATTTATAATATCACTCCTCTGAAATGACAGCGATCTGCAATGTAAACAGTAGAGCAAAGGATTCCAAACTATATTCTTATATACATCTAGATCTGTAGGATTATGTACCGTCTTTAAAGTGTGTGGATTAAAACCGGGGTACTTTCAACCCACAGCTCATGCTTCTGTGTGATTATTTTTAAGAGCAAACTTGAAGGCATTCTCTCCCCCACTCCCGGCTCAGTTTTCAACGGACAGAGGAGGACCGCTGCCGCGCGCAGCAACAGGAGACGCTGCTGTGAATCGTCTGACCAGCCAGGTTCTCAAGACCCAGTTTCAAAACTGACACCTGGTCAGTAGGGTGGTACGTTCTCTTTTTTATTAAAATGAAGGCAGCTCTCAGAACCCGCAGGAGGGCAGCCCTGCCGGGCTGCCGGTGCCCGACGCACAGGGGACCCGGAGCCACTTTCGTCCGTGTGGACAGAATGGTGAGAAGTACCAACTCGTCACAGAGTGGCACCGAGCACACCGAAGAGACGAACGATTTGGTGTCTTAGATTCCCTGGTCCCTGCAAAACGTCTAATATAGACAGCTTTGCGACCGAGTCTTTGAGAAAATCGTCATTGGCCACACACCGTTATTTTTCCTTTTCATACATACTCTTGACGACGGTAGGATTCAGATTCTGCTCGGGCTCAGCTCTGCGGGCTACATTCACCCATCAGTGTGGGGCTTTTAGTGCAGAATTATTATTTTTAAAAAAAATTAAACTCTGGCAGCGTTCAGGAGCCCGTGCGCTGGGGCTGAGCTGAGCGAGGCCTCCGTCTGCCGCTCGTGTCTGGTGTCAGGCTGGAGGCGGGAGCGCGCTCGGGGTTCAGGAAGGAACCTCCAGGCTCTTCCCTGTCGCCTGATTTCAAAGCCTGCTGCGACACTGTCCCTCCGCAGCCGAGCCGGTCCTCGCCGGGGTGGGCGCTGCTCAGCAGCTGAGCGAGTCTGGGAGAACCACGCCCGGGAGCTGCGCCCGCGGGCAGAGGCGCGTCCGTCTCCCTGAGAGCGGAAGGGGAAAGCGAGTCATGCGAGCGGGGAAGGCGCGGCCCTGCGCCGAGGTCCCGGGACGGCCGCTCTGCGACATCCCGAGCGTGCCTCCTCACGGCTGGCCGAGAGCGGGCGTCCAGGGAAGGCCGCGGGGGCCGCTCAGGCGGACGTGGCGCCCGCGTCGCCCTTGCTGATGAGCACCTCGAGCAGCCGCAGCTTCGCCTTGATGTGCTTGTACTCGCCGTACTCCTCGGCCATGGCGGAGCGGTCTTCCTTCTGGACGTTTCTGAGGGGAGTAAAAGAAGAGGGGGCTGAGGGTCGCTTTCGCCTCTCCTGGATGCTGCTGTCCCCATCGGGCAGGCAGGTGGCACCGCTGCAGTCTGTCGGCCTGCGGCATCAGTGTTGCCACGTGGCACTTGGGGGCGAGACAGACCATGAAAGACAAGCTCCTTCCCCGCGGGCGCCGTGCCGCTGGGTTTTTATAGAGCTAACCTGGCGTCTCACGGAAATGCAGAAAATTCCTCTCTGCATTTCTCTGTATGACTTCACGGGAAGAGTTCCCAAGCACTGAAACCCTATACTCATACTTGATGTTCCCTCATTCTTATATATTTCATTTAATGAACCATTACATTTCTAATTAGCATTTGGTACGCCCACAATTTGCAGGTTTTTCAAAAGCAGTTAATACTCCTGCTTATTATAAAATTAGTTTTGGGATGCAGCAGCTGGCTTCTGACACTAATAAGCCTTTATAGTTTACTGAGCAATTGACGCGCATGAGCACCGACCCAGAGCTCCTCGCGGGTCGGGCCTGCGCGGAGTACTTTGTATCCGTGATCTAACATGACCCCGGCCACACCTCGATGAAAGGGCACAACTGTCCATGTTCTGCACGTGATGAAACCAGGACAGGGACTCAGGTTCCTGCAAAGTGACCGCCCCCTGCCACTGTGCCATGTGGGGCAGCCTCACGTGGCAAACACTGAAACACAGCCTTCCTCTACTAATCATTAAAGAGCAAATGTGGGGCCGGGCGCGGTGGCTCACGCCTGTGATCCTAGCACTCTGGGAGGCCGAGGCAGGTGGATCATTTGAGCTCAGGAGTTCGAGACCAGCCTGAATAAGAGTGAGACCCCGTCTCTACTAAAAGTAGAAAGAAATTAGTTGGAGAACTAAAAATATATAGAAAAAATTATGCAGGCATGGTGGCGCGTGCCTATAGTCCCAGCTACTAGGGAGGCTGAGGCAGGAGGATCGCTTGAGCCCAGGAGATTGAGGTTGCTGTGAGCGAGGCTGACGCCACGGCACTCACTCTAGCCTGGGCACCAGAGTGAGACTCTGGCTCAAGCAAAAAAAAAAGCAAATGTGGAGATAGCATGGGGCTTAATTTGTTCAATGAGCTAAAAATAAAAAAAAAACTGATTCTATTCATACCCTCTCTTGGTTTCCTAGAGGAAAGAACTCTAGCGACTTCTTGGCAGGACACAGGTGCCTGGGAATCAGCATGTGACACCCGGTCCCGCCGCACTCTGAGAGGCTTCAGTCTGCTCCAGACATCACACCGGAACCAGATCGCATGGCACCTAAGTCCCCTGCAGTCCCATTTCCACCACTTGCACTTTCTTAAAACTTGTGTGGGTTCCGGGATTCTACAGAGTCGCTCACATGTAGGGTAACTGAATAATGTGAGGACAATAATACAAGAAAGGATAAACAGACAAACCAAAAATACGCTTAGAAAAAAGGTTGGGAGGAAACAGAGCAAAATATTAATCCTGATTTGTCTTTGGGTTATTATTATTTGAGGAATTATTTAATCTATTATCTATATTTTCTCAATATCCTGCAATGTGTGGGGAATGAAAAATATTTAGGTATAAAAATATATAAATCTTGGGGAAATCATTATAGGATACATCCAAATCAGAGATCCTAAAAGTAAATCTAAGTATTAATGGAACTAAACTGAAATACATTTTGAAAGCCAAAGTTAATTTTTATGGTGAATTTATTTTTTTTCTCCAACTTTTAATAAGTATGAAAGGGGAATGAAGAGAAATGATATTTACACAATTTAAATAATTTAGATTAAAATAAAACCAATTTAAAATGATAAAACTTAACTCCAATGTAAGCAATGCAAATCTATTCCTGGTTCTATCCTTGGGCTCATGCCGTGGTTTTAAGCAAGATACTCTGGTGTGCAGTCGCTTGTAACCATGAAAGATTATTTCTCAGCCTAGTGTTATATGAAGATGATTAAATTATGCCTTGAAACTCACTGGAGAAAGGTAACATCAACCAGTGGGCTCACTGCTTCTCATATAAATTGTTCATTCAAACTTGGCAACCATCACCTTTGTTTTTTAAAATGAACTTAAAAAATCAGTAAGATTTAGAGCCTCCTTTTCCCTGTTTCTTCCTCTAGTTTCTTTTTTTTTTTTTTTTTGTAGTCAGAGTCTCACTCTGTTGCCTGGGATAGAGTACCATGGCATCAGCCTCGCTCACAGCAACCTCAAACTCCTGGGCTCAAGCCATCCTCCTGCCTCAGCCTCCCGAGTAGCTGGGACTACAGGCATGCGCCACCATGCACGGCTAATTTTTTGTAAACATATTTTTAGTTGTCCAACTAATTTATTTCTATTTTTAGTAGACACGGGGTCTCGCTCTTGCTCAGGCTGGTTTCGAACTTCTGACCTTGAGCAATCCGCCCGCCTCAGCCTCCCAGAGTGCTAGGATGACAGGCGTGAGCCACCGCCCCGGCTCTTCCTCTAGTTTCTTAAGGGGAAAAGAAACTCCAGTGCCATGTGAAGCTGGAAACTCAGCTTCAGGCTGCCGGTTCTCCATGAGAATCTGACGTGAGAGGCTCGATAAGCGGCAGCAGGATGTGCCTCAGCCATGGCCGCCTTCCAGGGAGCGTTTCTCCTGGGAGGTCCACCCCAGTCTCGTCCTCTCACTGTCAGCCCGGAAGCGCGGGGTCCCTGGGCAGGAACCCAAGGAGCGCGTGACAGGGAGGCTGCAGAAGCGGCCGCGTGGAGGCCTCCCTTCCCAGGTCCCACGGTGGGGGAGTGGGGGGTGGGAATGGGGGACAGGGAATCGCGTGCGCTACCTTCCGTTCTGTCTGAAGAAATTGTCTTCAAAATCACGAAGTTTCTTTCTGATTCTTTTCTTTTCTTCTCTCATTTCCTGAAGGTGTTCCAAGAGTTCAGGTCTGAGGAGGAGGAGGAGAAGTTTCAAGAAAATTAAGTCAAGTCTGAGCGTGACAGGAGCTGGGGAGGAAGGGGACAGGTCCATGAGAAGCTGCCGCGGGCGCGAGGGCAGCAGAGGCCACGCTCTCCCGGAGGCCCAGGCGTGCGGGCAGCAGGTGCGGCTTCCGGGGCCCCTGCTACTCGGGGCTCTCGGGCCTCGGGAAGCCCCACGGCACTCTGTCTGTCGCGTTTTTCTTTGGAGGAAAGGAACGGCGCCTGTGCTCAGCGCGGGCTGCGGCATGTGGGCGAGCGCAGCGCGGTGCCATTTCTAGAGGGACCGCTGGCTGTTTAAGCAACATGGCCCACGTTCCCTCACGTAACATGGAGGGAGCATATAAGAAAGCGGTGCTACGATTACAAAAACAATAAAAATCACTGTTTTATCCACACACACACCACCCTCCAGGGTAGTCACTTGTGTTTTGTCAGCCAATTTTTTTTTTTTAAATACAAAGGCTAACTAAATTAGTGTATTTAAAAAAGTTATTTTCACCCAAACATTTTACCACCACAACCAAAATGACATACATTGAAGCGGCGTGGAGGTTCGAAAGCCCCGTGTCCTGGCTGCACTTTGATGGCATTTTGTCATCCATCGGCGAGATGAAGCCATCAGCATCGTCTTCAAATTGGTCCAGAAAGCAGCGTGGGCTGAAGTCCATTTTCAGGGTGACGGTGAAGTCCGGCTTCGAGTTGCTGTCGTCTTCCGACCCCTCCTCTTCTTCCTGGAGGGAAACAGCAACCCCGATAAACATCTGGCCACTTTCTGGGGCGTACTTTCATTACAAGCATCCTTTCAAAATCATTTAACTATCCAGACACCGAGCAGGGTCTTCTCTACACTGAGCAACACATATGGACATGGATTGTGTATGTGATCGGATACTTATACACATTTGATAACACAAACACTAAACTCAATAGGGAAAGCAGACTATAAAACTATTAAAAATGAGTGTACAGCATGATTAACAGTGGTCAAGGCCAGTGATAGGATGGAACAATCATTGTAATTTATACCCTAAATCAAAGAATCTAAAAATTTCCAGCACTATGACAGTACAAAACAAAATCCCCCACCAGTCACCAGTGCTTTAAAGGATTCTACTTTTGCCTCTCAGAAGATATTTTTTATTAGGTTCTGAACATTTTCTGAAATCAAACAATATTGCCATTCTATTTAACTAGTTGAGATTAGAAAATATTTTGTGGTTGCTTAATGTACACAATTTTAGAGAAGACTGAAATGTTCATATTCCCATGATTGACATCATAAAATTTATAAGCTTTTTCAAGGAATTTCCGAGGGCCGTGACTGTATTTTTCAACATTCAAGATAATGCAAACGGAAAAACAATGAAGTCACACTAGTGTTTCTTAGTGCCAATTTAAAGGTATGTAAGCCTAAGGAAGAAATAATATCAGAGTGTGAAAGATTTCAAAAGATGTAATTTACTGCCAAAATGTAGTCAGAGAGAGTATCTTAATATCTTAAAAAATTTAAAAATTGGTTGCGAGTACAGCTACACAGACGACAGTAAGTGTATCATCAGTTATTACGGTTGAACCAGTGGCTTCAGGACCAAGGCAGCAAATGCCTCTCGGGGCAGCCACAGTTGCCGCAGGAGGTCAGAGTATAAATACGCAAACTGCACTCGGAGGATTTTTCTGACTGTAAATTTCAGTATGTTTATAATGGTGCCTCTTTAGAAAAATAATGTGAATACACAAGTAGGCAAACGAAGCGAAACACAACAACAAAAGACTATTATGTGATTAAAATAAAAGTACTGCTGTGAAGGTAAAACTGGCCAAAGCTAGCTGGCCTTTCCAGATCGTCTCGGGTGTGACTTCGGATCTTCGATCTCTTTCCTTGGTCCACAGAAGTAAATGCCTAAGTAATAGATTTTTCAAGTTAAATTATTAAAACTATTTTTAAATTTAGAGTAAACTGACTTTTTAAATGATAATTTTAAAGTTTCTCTCTTTTTTTTTATAAGAGGAGTTAAGGATTCTCATCTATGTAGTTTTTATAAAAATTGAGATACTCTACGTCAAGGACCTGATAAGGCACCTGGCACACGGATGGTGCCGGGCGGTGCTCCGTTCTCCCTCCTGCCCCGCCCGGAGGAGGGAGACCAGGTAGAACCAGCTGCCTGTAGACCGGATGGAGGGAGGGACCTGGGCCTGTCGGCTGCTGTCTCCAGAGCTTGGCCGGCGCCTGCATACAGCAGGTGGTCAAAAATGTCTGTTAAGCAGTCTAGTAATTCAGTGTGAACAGAGAACTTGAAGCTGCTGGCAGAGCACGGCCGGCCGGGACACGTGCCGGGTGGAGCTACTGAGAAGAACTTGACTGCTTTAATGAAATCGGGTGTCCAGGTCTCATCCATTACACACTAAAGTCCTGAGGTCACTGAAACATGTGAACTGCGCCTTGCACATAGGTTTATCTCACCAGCACTGGCCAGCACACTCACAGAATTACTCTCAGTAACCTTTGAAAATCATGGGAAAAAAGAGAAATAGCAAAAATAAATATTTATTTTTTTCAATTTTTTAAATATTATATTTACTTCTTTTTTCTCACCAATAACTGTTGGGAACAAAAAATAAATCTTTAAATAAGACCCTAACCGGGAGTGTCCCGGGTGCAGGGCGGATTCTACGTGACACGTGAGCGACTGGGAATTTACAATCAGTGATCAGCTGACAAGCGCTGGCTCCTTCAGAGCAAATCCTGGGCACTATTTCTCCTTTCTTGATGGAACTGACATAATATGTGGGTTTCGGTAACGGGCCAGGGGGGCAGCCCTGCGACAGGAGAGCTGCTGCCCGCACCGGGGACGCAGTGGGACGAGAGGCTGGGGGAGGCCCAGCAGGTCTTCGCGGGCCCCTGCCTCCCCGGCGCTGATGAGTCACTGGGACAGGGACAGCAAAGGCACATGCACAAAACGGGCAGGTACTCAGTGGGCATCTCACATGCCAGGATACAAAAATCTAGATTTGATCCAGAAGTGTAAAAAGTAATAAGTTGGAAAGATTCAAGTCCTGTCACTAGGTCAGGAGGAATAAAAGCTGGACCCACTGCGAGAGGGAGCTGGGCTGCGCGAGTCAGCCACGGGACGGCCGTGAGCCGTCCTCAGCGGGGCGGCTGTGTCCGCTTGGGCGTCTGGAAACGTTTTTGGTTGTTGCAGCTGGGGAGGGGAGGCGGCGGCACATGACCGGCCGGTGTGGGGGGAGGCCAGGGGTGACGGTGAGCATCCCACCAAGCTCGGGACAGGCCCCACGCGACAGTCATCTGGCCCGAAGACGCCCGCCCTACAGGAGACCAAAGTGAACTCAGGACACACGGACTGCTGAAAAGACCTCAGGCGCCCAGTCTCCGGTTCACTGCCCTGGTTAAACCGTACACAGGGTGGTGTCTGGTTCAGGGTGTCTGTTCTAAGAGGGGCGCGGATACACCGGTGTGTGCGCACAGCAGAGCACGGCCAGCAGCCCGCCGGCAATGTGGCCCCGGTTAGTAAGGAATGGTAAGAGGAACTTGCAGAAGAGAAGATTTTTGCGAGGGGGGGTGGGCGGGCGGGCGGTGCCCTCGGTCCGTGCTGCTCCAGGGGCAAACCTGAGCCCACTGGATAGAACGTAATAAACCAGTGTTATAAACATCGGTGTTATAATTGCAACTGTTTTCATTCTGACATATTTATCAAACTTGCATAATATATAATTGTGTTGTATTTTATAACTTATAATACAAAATAAGTTTTTAGCTATCACTGAGGCTCAGCCCACGTAAAGAGCGACCTTACTGTCCCTACTGCTGGGCGCTTTTCAAGCCCGAGGATGGAATATCTTCCGAGGGACAGCGTCGCTATTCTGTCAGGGAAGTTTTACAGAGGATTCTTGTGTTAGACAGGAGAACTGACCACATCTTCTCTAGGTTTCTTTGGGTTGGAAGATCTAGGGCTTCAGAACTTGGCTGGGTCTCTTTCGTACACGGCTGGCCGCCTCCCATTTCAAACAAGAGGTGAGTTTTAAAAGAACCACTAAGACACCATCTTCTTATCTGCACACACGCCCAATTCTAGGTTGTATCAGAAATGCCAAAAATTAGTACGGTCCGAATACATCCTAATAAGCCCAGCCAGTTGGAACAAAATGAATCAAAAGAGAGTGTTGTTTACAAAAGCAATGTAATTGCTGCAAAATTACCTGAAATTTTGACCGTTATGTGGGCCAGCAGATAAACCACGGCCAAAATGTACTCGTGAAAAAAATAAATTAAGCTAAAGGACAAGAAATGGGAACAATGCTCTCTTTTAAAAAGAGCACCATTAGGATACCTTCAGTCTATTTAGTGATGCAATTGTTGTCGTATTTTGAATGTATTCAAGAACTCATTTTATCTAGTAACAGTTTGACTGCATCCTGCTAAGAGAAACATGCTAATTTCTGTACACACAATTACCCAAATCTCTTCAATTATGACGGTTTAATTCTTGTGTGAAATTACCAGCTAGATGAAAATCGTCTTCTTTCATCAACATCAAGGCTTATTGTAAGAAAACAGCTCTAATTTTTTAAGACATAAGATAGCATACCGGCACCAATTTCCCAATACCACGTTTAGAGCATTTGCGTAAAACAAGGTCTATTAAAAATAATATGAGCAGTGAACACAGTCATTGTCCTAATACCTTAAAATTAGGCATATAAAGTACGTAAGATCCCTAAAAGTCAGAAAAGGAACAGAGTAACGAAGACTGCAGTGTGTACAGCTTACCTCAAGCAAGAAAATGGAGAGTTTTCCATTGGTGTCCCTCAGCAGAGAAGCCCCCATGCTCTGAAATAATCATTCCTAACTACAGTAAATAAATGACACTTCAGGCTTGAAACTGCCGCAGAAACATACGAAGTGAAACTCTTAAAACTCACTCCTGCCTTGGGTTTAACTCCCACCTTGGAACTAAATAACTGCTAAAAAAAAAAAAATTAAAAATAAAAATAGTGTTTGCCTTTGATGTTTTTTTTATCTCTGGAGTCCCATATAAGGCAGTGCAGTTAGTTTCGCTCTTCTAGAAACAAACCCATGAGAGAGGCTGAACCTTGTACAGGCCGATTAGGGCCCTGCAGAGACACGGATCTGTGGGCACAGATTACACCCTCTGTTCTAGCAAAAGGAGCCGCTGATGACAAGGATTATCTGAACAAAATCCATAATTATTACTGGAAACAAAAAATCAGGGCGCATATTCTAGTGGCTGCCGGTGAGAGCACTATATTCACAGATTAAAAACAGATTATAAAATTAGTCCCGAGGACTAAATGTGCCCAGGGCAAAGACAGGAAGAAGGAATAAGGGGTGAAACTGCACTGCAAATCTGCCAAAGACTACCAAGATATTTGTCTTTAGAATTATACTTTTTCATTGCATGTTACATACACTGTCTTTGTTAATTTTGATTTTTCTATAAAAATCAATGAGTTTTTTTTTTTTTTTTAAAGTTGGTCCAATGAGCTAATTCCAGACTTTGCAATATAGAAAATCCAAACAGGGAAAACAAAAAAAAACAGTGTGGGAAACAAAATCAAACAAAATAACCATTCCTGAAAAATAAAGTCAAAACAAAACAACAACAAACAAAACACAAAAGAGAGGGAAACGAAAACAAGGCAACTGGCTAGTCTACAATGTACATAAAAGGGGACTGTTCAAAGCTGCTTATGTGCAGCTGCTGATTTTTAGGGAATTGGACAAGAAGCCTTCAGGGAAGGGCCGGATCACAGGGCCTTTCCGTTCACAGGGGGGAGGGAGGGAGGGAGGGAGGAGGCAGGAAGTGACCAGATTTAGGGCGGGTTAGCAGCTGGAGGTCTTCACCTTTATCTCCTTGAAGAAGGAAGCAGTTTCGCCCTCGATAATGGGCTGCAGCAAAGGGCTTCTCCGCGTGCTGGAGGGGGAACCCTGCGACAGGTGTTGACAAGCAGGTTACAGTCCGAACCCTGTCCCTTCCCTCCAGCGCTGCTCCTCCGACCTCATCCTCTTGTTCACAACCGTCTTGTAACTTCATGCCCTAACCCCTCCCGGCCAGGCACTCCCAGGAAAGCCCAAAACCAACAGAACAACTTTTCTAAGTTGGCTGTGATACGCTAAGGGGAATAACGTCAACCCCAAAAGCCTTCTCTGTGGTACGTTCACCCTATTTGGGGACACTAAGGTTTCCTGACTAGAGAATGAAAATGATTTCTTTGATTTAATCCCTTTGTTAGCTCGATTTATTCCGTAAGAAATTTCCAGATCAGTAGCTTTCCTCAGATACGCCTGCCTCGGGTCCCCAGACCCTCCCTTCTTCGTAAAAGCAAGCGGACCGTTAGAGGAAACGCAAAGGCCACGTCCCACGCGGGCCTGGAAGCCAGCGAGGAGACTGAAGGCAGGGCCAGGCAGGAGCAGCACTAACGTGACAGCGAAGTGAGGTCTGCTTATTAAAAAGCCCAAAGGCCAGCTGGGGAGATGAGCGCGCTGAAACACAGGCAAAGTTCCCCCGAGAGAGGGACACAGGGCACTGCCCCCGCCCGTCACACGCCGGGGTGACACCCAGACTGGGAAAGGGGGGAGAACAGGGGGACCGGAAGGCATTCCCATAGCTCAAGGCGAGGGGCTGCTCCTTGCTGTTGACAAAGTCAAATTCCAGGGGCCAAAGGCAGCTACGTCCAAGGATGGTGGCCACGGCCAGCAACTTCTCAATTATTGGCCTCCCTCCCTAGACCTTCCCACACGCTCCGAGAAGAGAGGCCTGCCTGTCTCTTGCGTTCCTTAGAGCATTTCTCCCTGGAGATGACTCCCAGGGGAGTCCCCCTCGCTCGCATGGGGAGAGACCCACAGAGGGCCTGGGGGCCAGAGAGGCACTCTCTGGGGTGGCGAGGCCTGGAGCAAGCACGGCCCCTGTCCCCTTGGGGCCCTGTCTCTGGCCAGCACATGTCACATGGATGTACACAGCCAAAGCATGTCTCCCAAAAGGGAAAAAAATTCTATCAGCTTTAAGATTTGCTCATTTTTGGCAGGTCCTTGATAAAGTTTTCATTCCTCAAGCTTGTGGGTCACGGATATTAATGGCTGTTTCGGCTGTGAAAGCCTGTTCTTCAACGAGGAAGCTACTAACCTATCCAGGGCCCATTCGAGGAGGAAGGTTTTGTGTCAACGACAGAAAGGCACGGTACTCACGATGATGGGTATGGTGTTGGCTCGGGACAGGATCTGCTTCACCAGCCGGTACCTGTCATACAGCGGCTTCATCACCTGGCGCTCGTTCTTTGTGACCTGAAAAACGAGAACGAGAACTCAGGCGCCTGCTCCCGGGATCATGCCACCAGCTGGGCCAGCATGCTTTCGGCCCTTGTGCTCCAGATGATGAAATTTAAGGTTTACCAGTCTCACAAAATTTATTCAAACTGATAATATTACTTATTCAGTAAATGTTTAAAATACCTACTTCAGCTGATGATCAGTGGCAACTGCTTAATTGTAATACTGTTTTTTCTAAATCACAACTATGATCACTCTCAGATCCCTGCTTAAAACTTAAGGTTCAGTGTTCCCTGATTCCCAATTTCTGGGTCCAGGAAAGAAGAAAGTGCATTTCTATTAGAGTAGAATAGCATGCAGTTATGTAATCAAGTTCTTATATTTACTTGCCTTTCTCCCCAGTGAAATTGTTGTGTTTTTAAAAACAAGATTCTGGCTAACAGTAGGTATTCAAGGAACATTTGATGAAAAATACACGAGCTGATTTATCTGTGTATTCCTAAAGTCTGGCACAGGGCTCAAAAATATTGAGAGGACTGACTGTCCACGCAGTGGGGAGAAGTCAAGCCCAGCTCCCTGGGCTAGTACTGCAAGCCCCTTATCATCTACTTGCCTTTTCTCCTCATCAAAACTCAGGCTCTAGAAACAAACTAGGTCATCTCATACTTCCTCCTCTAATTCCCTCTGCCCTGAAACGGCTTCCTCTGTGCTCTTTTGTTTGGCAAATGCCAGATCAAGAGCCACCTCTCTCTGCAGACTTCTTCCGACATCCCCCATTCTGGGGACTGACTCGTTTTCTCATTTGTGTCACGTGCACCACACTCTGTGGGTATCCTGCAACTTCATAAACACCTTTACACTCCATAGGAACTATTTGTTGACACATCTGTCTCCTCCTCTATATCGCAGCCTCTTGAGAGTAGGAGTTTATGTTTTTGTATCCCTAGTAACTATGTCAGTGCCTGACATAATGGAAATATCCGTAAGTATTTGTGAAATGAGTGAGTATTTCAAACAAATAGGTATGCCCAATTCACAGGTATGCAAACATTTCCTTTGGTTATGGGGAATGGGGAATGACATGGACTATATCTTTGTTTAGCGTTAGCTGTTTGTCTTCTGTATTCTATTGCCATTCCACACATCGTAAGGCAAGAGTATTTTAGAGGTAAGGAAGGGCAAGTAGTATTCGCTTTGAGTATTTTGGGCCTTTGATTTCAAAGACAGCTCTGGATTATGCATAAATGGATTATCTTTTGTTGCCTTTTGCATTTGCCTGTTATAAAGTGATCAACAGTGAGAACATTTTAAATAAAGTTCACAAGTTAGGATAGGATAATGCCATCATGCAAAACATTCTGTGGATGTTCGTTCTATCATTACCAATGATAGTAACAACCTTTCATTTCTCTCTTCCATTTACCATAATACTAAAGGGCGGTTGGCATTTTCCTGCTTCTACTATCTACCGTACTAAAAGGAGTTTTAAAGTTAATATTTCATTAAAAATGACTGTCAAAACTGGAAGGGAACTCAAATTATTTTATATGAAGACAACTGACGACCAGACCACAGGTGTTACTACTACGTACCTACTACAATGGCTAAGATGGGAAGACAATGTCAAGTGTCAACAACAATGGTGAACAACCCAAACTCTCACAGCTGCTAAGGGTGCAACATTTTGAGAACTATTTGGTAGTATCTACTAAAGCTGAACTTAGGACTCATCCATGGATTGCACTCTTAAGTATATACGAAACAAATGTGGCCTTAAGTTCACCAAAAGACACATATAAGAATGTTCACAGCAGCACTACTATTACTACATAATAGCCCCAAACTGGAAACCACCCACATGCCCATCAACAACAGAATAGATAAGGTATGTTGCCCAAATACCACATAGCAACGAGGACGGATGAACCACAGCTATATGCAACATCACAGATTGACCTCACAGTAACAAAGCCAGGTGAAAATAAGCCAGACACACAAAACTACATACTGTAAGATTCCACTTATATAAAGTTCAAAACTAAGAAAACAAAGCTACAGTGTTAGCTGTTAAGATGGTGGTTTTCCTTGGTGGGACCGAGAGTCACTTCCGGAAGGGACCATGAGGAGGGCTTCCGGCTTCCGGAGGAGTGGCAACATTTTGTTTTTTGATCTGGGTGCTGGTTACCTGAGTTTGTTTACTTTTTGAAATTTCATCAAGACATATAATTGGGGCTCTTTTCTGTATTTACGATATAAAGGCTGAGCAGCTCAAATGTGAAAATCTGAAATGCTTAAAAGTCTGAAACCTGCTGAGTGCTGACGTGATGCTCAAAGGAAATGCTCATTGGAGCATTTCTGATTTTGGATGCCCAACCTGTAATTTAACAAAAGTTCAACGATAGCAACGAATAAGCCTGAGGAACAGAAACAAAGTGACTTGTACAATGTCACACATAAAAGGACAAAATTTAGGACTGGAACACATGAAATAATTTTTTTAGTACAAGAAGTATCCATTAAGTATGTTGCAGATGAGAGTAAGACATCCTAATGTTGTCAACACATGATACGCCGTGAAACAATGTGCAAGATAAACAATGGATGGTTGAGTGACCAAAGATATACTAAAAATAGAAATAATACAAAGGAGCCAGCATTTCTGCATCGTAGACTCACATCCAATTACTAGTTACTTGGCAGAAGCATCTTTGGACTATACAAGGAGACTTAGTTGGTAAAATTAAACAAATCCAACAAATATAACAGAATCCATCTTCCTTTCTAATTCTTTGTTCAAAAAACAAGTTTTCTAGTTGGAATAGATGAAGATCATCACTGGTTTAATTCTTTGGCTCATGACACTGACATTTAGATTTTCTATGATTGCTCATGTTTTAATTAGTGACTCTCAGGAAATAATCACCAGTGGGTGAAAATCCAGTCTTTGCATGAGTTAAAACTCATCATGATTCTATCATACTTAATATTGGCATTTGACAGAAGTAGCTGAACACCGAAAATGTCAAACACCTTTAAGTCTAGGTGATAGAAAAGGTAAGAATTAATACTACGTGGTTTACATCAGAATTATTTTCATGATATATATTTGAAGCCAAAGTCTTGGTGATACTAAATGTTACTACAACTTTCAACCATTTATAATGAATTATCAGTGCTGGTTTGTGAGCTGAGGCACAATCTAACACAGTAGTTCTATGAACAAATCAGGATCCTGATTGAACTACAGATAAAGGGCCAGCTGATGTTAAAAGGATCAGAGGAAAACTGTTTGGAAGTTGATATTTCCTATTCTTGAGATATCAGCTGCTCAGAGATTCTGCTGATCACCAAGAACAAGACCCATGATTCAGATTAGAATTTTTTGGTGCGGGCCATGGTTGAGACAGGATCTCACTCTCTGTTCCTAGGTTGGAGTGCAGTGGCACGATCAGCGCTCACCATGACCTCCAACTTCTGGGCTCAAGCGATCCTCCTGCGTCAGCCTCCCAAGTAGCTGCAACTACAGGCATGCATCACCAGGGCCAGCTAATTTCTCTATTTTTTTATAGAGATGGGGTCTCACTATGTTGCCCAGGCTAATCTCAAACTCCTGGCCTCAAGGAATTCTCCCATATCAGCCTCCCAAAGTGCTGGGATTACAGGTGTGAGCCACTTTGCCATAGCAGAAAATCCTTATGATCCACAATTGCTTGGAAATAACTTTAAGCCAAGCATGTAGTAGTATACTGTCTCTTCCAAATAATTTCATTCCTCTTGCTTTAAAACTTTAATTTTCATTTAAATGGTAGTGATGAATGGTTTTCCAATGTGTGGGAATGGTTATTATTAAGATGTATTTTTGCATATCAATCAAAACAACATAAATATCTAGACAAGAAGATCTAATGAGACGAGGTAGCACTTGCACACTGTCTTTCCTTATGATTCAAAGAAATGTTCATCTATTGGTCTTTTACCACCCTATTTGGTTGCTTTAAGTCTCAGAAAATACATCAAAACACAAAGGGAACACTAGCCAATAATTATCCACATTTAATTAGTGCCAAGTCTTGAACAGAAATCATAATGGCCCGATGAGGCAGCTGCACTTGCCTGCCTTTAGCTTTTGTAATGGTTTTTGTCTTGGCTTTAAATGAAACTACAGAAACACCAATTTGGTTGCTGTTACCTGGACAGAACCACAAAGGTGAAAGGTAAAATGACTGACGTATTTACTTTGAAGATAAAGATACAATGAGAACCAGGGAATATCAGAGGTAGAAAAGCCTTATTATTATTATTTTTAGATGATAGAGCTAAGCACCAGAGAGGGTAATGATTGGCGTGAGGCAACACAGCTGGGCCAGGAACCCAGGTTTACCTACTGCTAGTCCACTTTCCTTTCACAAATAAGTAAGATATGAAGTGTAATAGGATCTCTGACACAGTGTGACGACGTAGCTTATCTTCTAATAGGGTTTGACCAAATTGTCTTCTTCGCAGAAGGAACTCTGCCTTCCAAGCTGAGAGTGCTGCCTGAGTTTACAATAATCTCTGCGTATGAACAGCGCATAAAAGCACAGCACTGTCAGAAATTATGGTACGGACAGACAAGAAACCATACCGCCTCAAAATCTTAGTAAAACAAAATGTAGTTTGAGCTTGTGTGTGTGTAGGGGTATGGCTCTGGGTCATGAAACTGTTAGAGAAGACAAAATGAGATGGCTTCTTCTAATCAGTGCGTTCTTGGCCTTTTAATTTGGAAAATGGCAACTCTCCCTCTTTCATTATCAGATAATATTAGTAGGCCGTCTGTACGAAGATCAGAATATCCAAAATAGCAGCTAACCAAAGGAGAGTATTTATGGAAGGCCCCATAATTTGCATTTCAATTTGAACATGGCTATGTTTAGTGTTGTGTTAGTCCCCAAGGTTATAAAACACAAGGTCAAAATACACCAGTGGGGCAGAGACTCGAGCAGCAGCCAGAGGGCTGTGAGCAGGCCCCCACCCTCCCTTCTCGAGAGTGGGACATACAGAAGGTGACATCGTGAGCTCAGTCGCTGGCTGCACTTCTGTCTGCGACATGGTCTTTTGATAAGATCTTTAAATGCTGAAAGGAACACACTTTAGTAATAATGATGTGGCCGTGTGAAAACGGCGTTTTTTATACACGTGCCTCTCTGCAGAGTGCCCTGTTAAAGCAAACAGCTTTGCTAAAAAATGTACAGAGGTAGCAGATAAAGGTTTGGGCATGAGATTCTGACAGTCAGTGTCCTTGGAAATCGGTATCTGTGGACTCAGCCAAAATCCAGAGCACCTGCTTCTTTAAAAACTTGGAACTTGGGACGATAGTTTAGCTCTGACGTGTGTGTATTTTTCTTCTGAGAAGAGTGCTGTCCAAATGGTATTTACAGTCCAGGGACCATGGCAACACCACAAATCTAGGAACTGAAAGTTCACTCTTTGATTTTCAGACTGGCCGGGTATCAAATGAACTCTGCTTTCCCGGAGGAGCGTGGAGCATCATCTTCCAGAGAGAGGCAGCGTCGGGCCCAGGACCAGAAGAAAATGATACTCAACCTTCCTAGAGCATTTCTTCCCTACCCTACGAGATGCTAGAATCCAGACCCACATGAAAGAATGATGGAAGAAAGTGGGAATAATAAGACAGGACCAAGAACTAGTATTTTAGTTCCTAATGACAGGAGAGCTAAAAAATGTACATTCTTTCCTGATTTATTTATTTACTTACTTTTTTTGGGGGGGGAGAAGCACATAACTTCTATTTACATACATTGGGGTTTACGAAAAATAGGTTGATTAGAATTAAATTTAGCCTCAGGGGCTTATTTATCCTCTAAAGAAAGGAAAAAATAGTTTTAAAATTAAACAACGTTTCTGGGAGGCCATTGTTTGAAATAAACTGGAATGGAGTTTCTGGAGCTAGGTGCCATGGAATATTTTTTTAGAGATGGGCTCCCTACATGGCCCAGGCATAGCTCACTGTAGCCTGAACTCAAGGGATCCTTCCACGTTAGTTTCCTGAGTAGCTGGGACTACAGATGCACCGCTGCACTTCATGTACTGCTCTTTAAAAATGAGTCATTTTCTAAAATATAAGAGGTTCACAGCATCCAGTCAGATGGGGTCTCTGACACACCCAAGTCCCCTCTGTGTTATCACTATAAGGAAATTAACCTTAATTCTAGAAAAAGCCCAATTAGATATTTTGTTTGTTTGTTTGTTTGTTTTAAGACAGAGCCTCACCCTTGTTGCCCGGGCTAGAGTGGCGTGGCATCAGCCCAGCTCACGGCAACCTCAAACTCCTGGGCTCTAGCGATCCTCCTGCCTCAGCCTCCTGAATTAGATGTTTATACTAATTTTTGTTAATTGTGTACATCTGCTGATACATTCTCATCTTGGTGGTGGCTGTCTTCTCTCCCTGGCATAAGGGGGGCGACTTTTCTCCAAGTTCAACTCATGCCTTACCACAGGCAGATGACGCCTAAAAGGTAGAGCTCTTCCTTCGTCTTTTGAGCCTCAACTGCCTTCAGCTCAAAATAATCCTTATGCCGATGCGGCACGATTTTGGGGTCGCAAACTGTGACCCCTTTCAGAGCAAGCTCGGATGGGCAACAGAAACAATGAACCTTAAAACAAACAGCCAAACAACTGTACTAATATCACACAAGTTTGATGGCTTATAATATACTCTGGAAATTTCTGGCCAACATTAGCATCAACTCGAGGCTGCTTTCCTCAAACAGTTCTTTCCTGATTTAATTGCAAATAGGCCACAGAGAGTATAACATATGATTGTAACAGAAGTGAAAACTATCATTTACTGTGCGACCCCGAAAGCCACCCCACCCCACCCCTCAGTGCCAGACTCCCTACAGGTAAATACGGAGATAAATGTCTGTGTGTCTGTAATGTCATGTGGTTTCCATGACGACCCATAACACACATCTGTTATATAGACAAAGCAGCAAGGCTCCGAGAGGTTGAGTAGCCCAGTGTCACAGAGCTAGTCTCAGTAGGGCTGGGGTTTGAATCTAAGTCTGCTGATTCTAAGACTCGCAGGGTCTGCACGTTGCCCCAGATGAGGCAGAATGAGAGAATGTTCCCACCTCAGAGCAATAAATACTACAGCACACATACTACTGAACCGGCAGCAAGGTTATGTCCACCTAGAATGCAGCCGTGAGCTCTTGGGGGCCTCAGTCCCTAAGTACTTAAATAAGTCTATCAATGTCATAGCCTGAATCCACACAAAGAGAAGAAGAAATGTTGAAGAAGGGAAACACATAAGTCCCACCTCGTTCCCCGAGGCCTGTGCAGTGGCTACCAGGAGATCTGTACTTTGGGGGTCTGAGCCCACTGTGGAGAAGGCGTTTATCTCTGTGAAAAGAAGTTCAGTTCTCCCTCTGCAAGTTCTGGATACTCCAGTAGAGAAGGACAAAGTTTCACAATGTGAAACTCTAGAGCATTTACTACTTGGTTTGATGCCTTTAAAATATCTAATACAAAACTTGGCTAAAACATGCACATTATCCCAGAGTGTATTTTTCCACTGCAGGGACAGGCCGGCAAAACCAATCATCATCACTTCCAGTATCTTATTATTATTTTTTTAAGTTTAAACCTGGCACTTCAGAACCAAAATGCCACGGAGGATGCATCCTACACATAGTTACTGGGCACCTGTCCTGTGTCAGGTCTTGTGCTAGAGGCTGAGGGTTAGGGTCACCACTAGGTGGGCAATGCCCAGAATCCTTCGTTATTTAAAAGAATGTATTTTAGATGAAAAGACTATATCCATTATAGAGTTATGGCTGAGAGTGGAAAAGAGACCTATGCTTTTTTGCTATATAAAAAATTCATCTGTAAACCTAAACGCTTCCTTATACCTTCTTTTAAGAATTTGTTTTTCTGTGTTCTTGATAACATTCTGCACAGAAGGTTATTAAAAGTAACCGAGAAGCAGGATGTCTGATTACAAGTTCCTCAAGGAAGGCAGCAAAAGCCTATCATGCCACTGTACCCCCCACAGCTGACAACAAACATCCAATGCACAGGACTGAATAACAAGCCACCTCAGAGGCTTCCTGCTGTTATGAAAAGGCAAAGCCCTTATTTTGGATTCTTTTCACTTTTAGTTCTGAGTGTCAGCTGGAACTTCTTTACAGACAAATAACCAGTTGCAACTGCATTGCAGAAGGGCGGCTCATTCTAGATTAACATCTGCATTTTATGGATGAGAAAACCGAGAGCCAGTGGCAGCTTATGGGAGCAGACACAGGAACACGGAAGTCTCCAGGACTCTGTGCACCTTGTACTCCATTCCCCTTACCGTTCCCCCTTGAAGCAGTACACTGACGACTACACTTTAGGTGCAAACTAATTTTTTGTTGGAGTGTCTACTAGGCAGAAGAACTCTTAATCGGCTAAGGCTTCAGAAAGCTTAGTCATTGTGTAAATCTATAGTAACCCCCTTTTATTCTAAAAGTAAAGAAAGCAAACATTAGAGAACCCCAATTTGCAAGATACTGGACATAGAAACTCTGTTTGTAATGCCAGATAACTGACCCCGATCAGAAAATTCTGTACGTGACATACCGGCCGGCCATGAATGCTCTCGTAATACAGCAGGGCCTTCTGCAGAGCCACTTTCTCGTTAGCAATTTGGTCTTTGGTCATATCCTGTATAAACGCAGGGACAGAGAAATGAAAGAGAAGGAAAACATTTGTGAATATTCCAACTTCTTTATTTAAACAAATCTAGCAAAGCAAGTTAAACAGAATCCTCTTGCAATAGCTCCTCTAGCTCTATCCAAAGTCCACTTGGGAATGAGCTCTCCAGAGCTCTTGCTAGCCACACGGGCAACACAACAGGACAGCCACACCTGCTTGATCTCCCACGCAGCCGCAAAGGCGTGCTGAATACTGAGGCGAGCAGGGCTGTCAGGTACATGGGGCTTAGCCTGATGGCCCACGCAATGGCCACGGTTACAGGCGACACAGTCCCCAAGGTTTGCCTATAACTCTTCTACCTCAGAAGTCACCAAAGCAGCTATTAACCTAAACAAGTTCATTCTGCACTATATGTAACACAATAGAGTTTTCTGCTTTCAATCTGTAGTCAAAAACCGAAGTACCCACGGTCGACCCGCTCTGCAGTTGTTTCATCTGCCTCTCCAGACACGTGGGAGTGTGGCAGGTTTGCAAAGCCATCACCTTCCCGCGGGGACGCGGGCAGCACGCCCGTACTTCCACCGCGCGCACTCCAAAGGCTCAGGAGCCGCAGTTACTCGCGGACGTCACGGAACCCTCGCACCTTAATGTCCTCAGGCCGGCTGGACTCCGCTCGCTTCTCCTGGAGCTTCCTCTGGATAGACTCGAGCGTGGCTTCGATGCTAGGCTTCATTGCTTTGTCCACCAGCTCTTGCTTCTTCTCATCTTCCTTCTCAAGCTGGGAACCGAAACTCTTGGGGAGCGTGTTACTTCGCTGCCGCATCCTGGGAGTGAGGTCCTCTTCAGAGATCTTGAGCTTTGACTCTAGTTGAGAAGATTTAGGGGGTAGAGGGAGATGAGAACTGATGTCTGCTAAACACAAACTGTTTTCCTGTGGTGTCAGTAACTGCTCAGTGCTGTCACTTTTCAGAGAGTATCTCATTACTGTATCAGAAGAAATCCCCGAGTTGTTACGTAAAACCTGAGATAATGATGATGTCTTCTCGGCTTATGTGGAATGTTCCCTAACCCTAACTCCTGAGAAAGCTCTGGCTACTCACCATCCACGCTCTGGCCACACCAGCCTGTGTGTTGTTCTCAGAGTGGGGCAGATGCCTTTCCATACTTGTTCCCTAAGTTTTTTTTTTTTTTTTAGAGTATATATACATATATATATATAAAGTATTTTTTATGTGAATTTTAATTTTTTCCCATTTTTTTTATTTCAGCATATTATGGGGGTACAAATGTTAAGGTTATGTATATTGCCCATGTCCCGCCACCCCCGAGTCAGAGCTTCAAGCGTGACCATCCCCCAAATGTTGCACATCTCACTCATTATGTTTGTATATACCCATCCCCTCCTACCCTCTCCCACCAGCCCGACACCCAATAGATGTTACTCCTATATGTCCACTTAGGTGCCGATCAGTTAATATCAATTTGCTGGTGAGTACATGTGATGCTTGTTTTTCCATTCTTGGGATACTTCACTTAGTAGAATGGGCTCCAGCTCTGGCCAGGAAAATACAAGAGGTGCTAGATCACCGTTGTTTCTTAAAGCTGAATAGTACCCCATGGTGTACACAGACAACATTTTATTAATCCACTCATGTATTGATGGGCACCTATGTTCCCTAAGTTTTTAAAGTTATTTACTGATCTAATGCCTAACCACTGGCTGACTTCTCCTATATGATTTACAAGCCTCATTTTGAAATTATTTTTATTTTATATTCTACTTAGTTGTTTATATGACTCTATCTCTTAAAGGACAAGCAAGCTGTCTGAGGGACGGGCAGGGCCAAACCCCTTTCAGATTCATCTACGTCTGCATGTTTACTCCTAACACACTAGCAAAGGAAGCCTTGGATTACACAGGTGCTTAAGACGTGTTGACTTGAAACCTCTCTTCTTCTACTAGTGATTTAGGAAAATGAAGAAATGCTGTAGAATCTTAGCTGATCTAGCTGCCCTATGACTGAGATGAGAGGGAGACGTGGGGAAGCAGCCACCCTGAATCACTGAGAACACGGGGAAGCGTCTCCCAGGAGCTGGGAACACCTTGGCAGTGGCACCCGGCACGAGGGGAGGTGATGGGCTGCAGTGGTACAGAAGCCGCGAGACAGATCCACCACTTCACCCACCTTTCAGCTGTTTTCGGAATTTGGCGAGATCGTTTGTCCACTTCAGAACCTCAGGATTGGCTGCTTTGTCGCTGTGGGAAGGCTGAGAAAAGAAAGTCTAGAGTCAAGGTTTTAGAACATTGGGGCAGGGAAAAATAAAGAAGTGTTTGATCATTTTTTGTCTTAAATAGGAAGGAAAAGTTGAGTCCCATCGGAATAGGAAACCATGATCCATGATACAAATGTCGTAAGTGTAATTCACTATCCTTCTTTACATATGGTTATTTTTGATACTTTCACAGACTCCCTCAGAGGCAAAATGCCAGATTTTCATGGTCAGGAATTCCCGTGAGGTCCCTGTTTCCATTGTTTGTAGAGTCCAGCCTGTGAGGCCGACAGAGTAGAAAACGGAGGAGGAGATAATGTTGTGCACTGCAACCACCACAAAAAATGCCTTTGGCACTCTTGTGGGAAACACTAAGGGTACAGCTGAGGGTAGAAGGAGCTCAGTACTAATGAAATTTGGGGAGATAATACTGAATTAAGTTTTGGCCAGACTAAAGATTTCACTCAACAGTTTTCTTCCATTCTTGCTCATTGATAAATTTATAAAACGTAGACTTCAACTTTCAATTTACTTGTAAGAATACACTTGGGCAAGAAGGGCGCAAATGCCGACACATGATGAGTGGGTTTATCCAGGTTTTCTCTCCAGTTTTTTCTGCCCTTTTGTTTTGAGATTCTCTAGAAAACTCCCTTAACCCTTTTATCGCTTCTTCGAGTTGCTGACAGGCTAATGGCACGAGGAGACGAGGACAGCGGGAGGGGCACTTACTCTGTACTTCCGCTCTTCTTCAAATCTGTCCTCGAACTTCCGGATTTTCTTTTTCAGGGTCTGAATCCTCCGTGTGAGCTGGGCGGGTGTCAGGTCCTCCTGCTCGTCATCGTAGGACCCCAGAGAGGAGCTTCGCCGCCTGCAAGGGACACGACTCGGGTCAGCCCGCCCACGCGCAGTCTCTGCCTGCCGAGAGGGGCTCCGGGGCTGGAGACGCCGCAGGGAGGAGGAGGAGGAGGAGGAGGAGGAGGAGGAAGAGGAGGAGGAGGAGGAGGAGGAAGAGGAGGAGGACAAAACAGCCTCCGCCCTCTTAAATAAAAGAAGTTGACGGATTCATTTTGTGACTTTGAGCTCTGTATGTCCCACCTATTAAATACGTCTAACCTTTTCTAGCTCACGTTTACAGTTAGCAAAGGCAGGGCTGAATGTCTACCCTTGCTTTGGGCCTAAAAGTTAAGTCTGGCAGAGCTTTGGAAAGAAGGTGCTAAGAAAATCCAATACATGACCCTGCAGCTGGGCCGAAGTTCACGTGAAAAACTACAACACGGCCTGTGCACTAGGATGGAGAAGGTCACATGTTTCTCCTCAGACTCACGACTTCATTTTAAAAAAGTTGCCGGCCATCAGCGCCATTCCTATCTTTTCTAATGCTGTGTGTGTGTGTGTGGGGTGTGTGGCATTTTCTCAGCAGCAGCAGAGAACATACCTCGTGAAAGAATGGGAGTTCGGGGGGGAAGGGGGCACTTCCGTGTCATCCAGGTACTGCCGACTCTGCCCGTAAGTGTGGAAGCGAGGGGAGAGCATGGGGTCGCTGTCCCCGTCCAGCAGCTGGCGGATCAGCCGCCCGGCCTGCGGGGACAGGTGAGCTTCATCGGGGGCGCCGCCCTCCCTGTGCCAGGAGGAGATCTCGGGCGTGGGCTCTGGAAAAGAAGGTGGCAAGAGGTCAGAACCGTTCTTTAGAGCACGCTTGTTCCCCCTGTTTCCCGAATGCTTTAGGAAGCTGCCCACTGAATGGCTTCCCGTTTTAGATCTAAGGCCCAGACTGGGGACACTATGCCTCAACGGAAATCACCGGTACATCTGACAGCCACCGCCTACGTTTTATCTCCATTCTCCCTTGCTTTCAAAGGGAATTTGCTAGCACTGCCCTGAGGAACAGCCTTGAAGGCCCCGAGCCCAGCAGATCAGCGATGATAGCTTTACAGCGTGAGGACATTATTGAAAACAATAGCAAGTGTGGCAGGGAGGGAGACATTTGGTGTCACGAATATACACCCTTAAAAACAACTGAGGATTCAGGCTAAGAAACCACATCAATCTTGCAAGAGCCTATTTATTCAGGAGTTTACAACTTTCTTTTAGGTCATGCAGTAAGCTGTTTTGTGTGCTTCTGCTTAGTGCGCTGGGATTAGCATGCTTAAGATGCATGCTTGGCATTGGAAACTTCAGAAGGCGCTCAAGACTACGGTTAGAGAAAGAGACACATACATAAATTAGACAAGAGAAAAAAGCATGCCTTACAAAGGAAAGATCTGTACAAATTATTTTAGACGATCTGTAAGACAAAACCATATTCAGCACAAAATCCTGACCTGGCATTTTGGGAGAAAAGGGGGTGATGTTTCAATCTACTTACTGCAAGACTCACCTCCATATATACCTCCCCATATTAAAAAATCCCATCTAAAAGATTTGAAAGATGGATCTCAAATGATATTGGGTATTTCATTTGTAATACTTGGCATTAAAAAAAAAAAGTTATGCTTTAAACTCACTTGTGGATTACCATGATCACACAAGACCGCAATTTGGCCATGATCTTAAATTCTGGGATTCCTAGAGTCTGAATCATCAACTGTTGCTCCTTCAACTATCGTATTATAAGATGTACAAAATTATCTTAAATAAGTGTTTATTCAGCCTTCTATCTAAAAAGGCCATACGAGAACTGCAGAATGTTAGGGCTGAGTGTGACTTCATGCGTCATTCGATCTTGTGACTTCTCAGCCTTGACTGCACATCAGAGTCACGAGGGGAGATTTAAATGACCACCAGCACAGAGGCTCTCCCACCACCCAGGTAAACAGAGTATTTAGGTGAGGGCCCAGTGGACTCCCCCTGTAAAAGCTGTCCAAGCCGTGTGCAGCCAGGTCTGAGAACCACTGACCCAACCCAACCGGTGACAGACAAGGAGGAAACTGAAACCCCAAGAGCTGAGACTAGAAGCAGAGTCTCCCAACTTCCAGACATGTATGTGCCAAGTGCTTCCCTCACAGCGATGACTGCCTGAGATTTCTGAAGACCCCACAGTCTAATAGAGAAGATGAGCACATCCATTTAAAAAAATTAGCCTCGTATGGAATGAGGCTCATGGGTTCTCAAAATTTCAAGAGAACCAAGTTATTTGGGAACACAGACGAAAAGATAAATATTTTGAAAAATGAAAGCAGTGTTAAAGACAGATTCTTATCTAATGAGGCTCAAAAAGTGGCAGAGAATATGTTGGTAGAGACACTTGGCTAAAGCTGGAGGCGAACAGGAGGTGTTTCGTCATTTGTGCTAACACCACCAGTCTGCTCCTCCTAAGCGGTGAGGCGCAGGCATGAGCAGCTCAGAGCTGCCAACACATGAGAATAAAAAGTGGACCGAGAGGGGAGGCAAGGAGCAAGTAAGAGGAAAGTAAGTCCTAGAAAAAACAAAAAATGTAGTGTTCACTTGTAGAAAATGGAACTATAAAAGGGACCAGGTTGCATCTTCTCTTCCATGGCATTACGTAAGACAGCAGGAATTTTCTGCAAGGACTAAAATTAACTGAGCCACCAGGGGAAGGGTTAAGGTGGCCTGAACAGTAGTGCAGCAGGCACTAGCCTGCCAAGGAGTGGCAAAGGGAGCAAAACAACGGGGGCGGGCACGCGGCCGTGCAGGGACAGAGGGCTTTGGCAACATGAGGTCTGATGTCGACCTTGGCATATGGGTGGGCTGGTTGATTTGACACTTCTACTCATTAAAATTTAGCTTGAAAAGGTGTTACCTTAACATGCTGAAGCCCTTCAATTTGTCTGAATCTAGTAGAATATCTCTTCTAAAATGTTACAACTAATCTGTGGTTTTCAACCATATGGTCTCTTTGCATAGAAAATTTTACTACAAGAGTGTGTCTGTGCCCATCAACCAAACATGTCTCCAATAAAAGAGAAATTGTGATATTGAAATCACTATAAACTACTAATCATGGAAATGAATTATCGTTATTTGCTTTGTGGCTAACAAAGGGCCATCCGTCAGTTTTCTCGTTTCTTGTTCTGTGGCTCCATTCCTGACCAATCACTTCAAGACAGAAAGAGCAAATGTGTCCTTTACTGAGTATCACCAATAGTATCTAGTAAACACAGCTGAAGAAATTCTATCTTACAGGTGACATTTTTCTCTTAAAGCACATAGTTAGAACAAATGAATTCACTTATTTAAAAATGAGCAATGTAAAATCATTAAGAATTTCAGCTTTAACAAAATAAAAAGGAACGTTTCATCATTACCCTGCAGGTAGAACAGAACTGAAAAGTTTTTCCCTTATGCAAAATGAAATGCTTACATGATTGCTCTCTCAGTTTCCTCTCTTTCCTGATATTCTACACGGGCTTATAATTTAAGGCTCCTATTCAAAAGAGTTATAAAATGACATGTAATACATAGTTCGATATAACTAAACAATCAATAAAATCAACTGTTCTCCCGTTTGAGTTTGAAATGATCTAAAAATACAAGGCTGTCTCATGTTCTGATAGTTGGCACTCAACTAGAAAAACAAGAAAGAACTAAGGAAGGACGGTGTGGTATATAATGTGTCCAATTACATTACCTGCCTAGAGAGCCAGTTTTGAGGATGTATTCACTGACCATTCCCAATTGCTAGTTTGGAAAATATTTTAACCAGTAATTCTAGTGCAAGGAAGGAGACAAGAGAATGTTGCAAGAAAATTATTCAAAGGGAAAACAGAAAAGAAGTTTGGACTTCTTTTGGACTTCACTTTGGACTGTCTTCCTAAACCACCAGATAAAATAAATGCATTTTCATATGTAGACCCAAATTCCTCAGGTAACACTGATTTTGCTTTTTAGTCATGTGTCTAGTCACAATGAACTCTGGACGTAAGTATGACATGTCTATTAAAAATTAATCCACCTGGTCAGCTGACATCACAGGAGGTCACAAATAACAGAGATAAAAGCTGTATGCTTGCTACTTAAGTAATAAAAAATAATAGGTCCCAGGGGAGTTCTAATTCACACAATATAGCACACGTGGAAAAAAGGAAATTCACCATAGGAAGAAGAAACGTGCCTCTGAGTAATGCTGATGTGGTCACTGTAACATAGCCACTCTCTGCTTAGCTGGCTGGATCCACTTACTATACAAAAGAAAACTGGCTATCCAGATGATTTATTTCCAAGGAATCTGCAAAGGATTAAGGAAGCTGATGTTTTCCACATTTCATTTCCACCTATGTTATTTAGAACAATTACTACTTGGCATGATGTTGTAACTTCCTTCTCAGCTGAGCTAGAAGGTACTTGCATATCCTGAATGTAGAAAGATGTAAGCCCTCCTGGGGCGGCGGCTCCTTTACTAGGGGAATCCTTCTAGAAAATTCCCTTTAGTGTTCCAAAATTTAACCTTAGAACAATGGTAGTGCTATTAAATTGTCTGAATAGTCTTACAAACTATCAGAGTTAGAAGGAACCTTAGCAATCAGCTTTATCAATCACGAGTTTAATCCTGAAATTTCATTCATCTGCTCTGCCTGTATTTACAAAGTTAGTAAGCAGGCCCTTAATAGCTCTATTTAAATCACCGTGTGGAACAGGACAGGGCTGCGGACTTTACCTAATGATCATACCCCCATTTGAAGTGACTTTGATCCATTTATCTGCACATTTAAGGGCAGCTAGTTAATCCACGACTAATTCACGACCCTGTCACTCTTCCCTTTCACATCTCTTGACAAGGTTGTCATGCAGGCCCTGTCAAAGGCCCAGCAAAGGTCTTTTCTTTCTTTTTTTTTTTGAGACAGAGTCTCTCTCTGTTGTCCGGGCTAGAGTGCCGTGGCGTCAGCCTCGCTCACAGCAACCTCCAACTCCTGGGCTCAAGCGATCCTCCTGCCTCAGCCTCCCGAGTAGCTGGAACTATATATAGGCACGCGCCACCATGCCCGGCTCATTTATATATATATATACATATATATATATCTATATATATCTATATATATATCTATAATGTTGGCCAATGAATTTCTTTCTATTTATAGTAGAGACGGGGTCTAGCTCTTGCTCAGGCTGGTTTTGAACTCCTGACCTTGAGCGATCCTCCCACCTCGGCCTCCTAGAGTGCTAGGATTACAGGCGTGAGCCACCGTGCTGGCCCAAAGGTCTTTTCAAATGCACCATTTTCCTAATGCAAAGGAAGCCTGGCAGTGGCTCACGCCTGTAATTCTAGCACTCTGGGAGGCCAAGGCAGGAGGACTTCTTGAGCTCAGGAGTTCAAGACCAGCCTAAGTAGAAGTGAGACCATGTCTCTACTAAAAAAAAAAATAGAAAAATTAGCTGGGCATGGTGGTGAGCTCCTGTAGTCCTAGCTACGTGGGAGGCTGAGGCAGGAGGATCGCTTGAGCACAGGAGTCTGAGGTTGCTGTGAGCTATGATGATGCCACTGTATTCTAGCCCAGGCAACAGAGTGAGACTCTTTCTGCAAAAAAAAGAGAAAAAACACAAAGAAAGGAGGTTGGTGTGACATGGTCCTCGGTAAATCTGCAGAGGTGTAGAGGACCTGGTAATTCCTGATTTCTTGTCTGCGCTCAGACCTGTCCATGGTCACCTGGTAGAATTGGGCTCTGGTTTCAAAGGAAGCAAACAGGCTGATTTTTCCTGAAACTGTACTTGGAAATATTTATGGAAGATAATAACAACTAGCACTCACATAGTATGTGCCCACATTGTGCCCACACTGTGCTGAGCACTTCGCATATTTTAGCTCATTTAATCCTTGCAGCAAACTTACTAAATAGATACTACTATATCAATTATTCATTGTTATCTACTGTTGGCTATACCTATGTAAAGATGGGGAAATTAAGGCCAAAACTGAGACAGGTTTACTAACGGGTTGAGCAGCAGAGAGAGGATTTGAACCCAGAGAATCTGGCTCTTTGGTTTACTGCCTGCCAGGATACGACTGGTATTGTTTAGAAAGAAACATCACGTAGAAGTCAGGAGACTTCTTTTGGCTTCAGCTTATCTATGCAATAGAAGGTTCAGCTGGAAAATCTTTCAAGATTTCTTGATTATCTATGCTACTTTTGTGAATTTCCTTTCCAAGTTATTTTCAATAAGCAGTAAGTGATGGGTTAGATTTACAAAGTACTTCATGTCCTTTTAAGAATGCCTCCCCTCCCCCCTGCAATGAAACATTACTATTTTGAGCTGGTCTCAAACTCCTGGGCTCAAGCAATCCTCCTGTCTCAGCCTCCTGAGCAGCTGGGACTACAGGCATGTACCACTGTGCTCAGCTTAAAATGCCCTCTTAAACTTAATTCCACCAGGATAAAAATAAGTGGCTGAGTATTTAAACCTCAGTACTTCCACAAATGGTACCTCTAAATCAACATGAACTGACTGCTTGGGAACATTCTAATTATGCAACTCTGAAGGTTTTTAAACAACAAGAATTATAATTCGATTTGTGTATTCATTTAACTTTGGAGACTAGAAACCCTAATGATGATGATAATAGTAATAATGCTAGGGTCATGTGAATAAATCAATAATGTGCCCTAAAACATAGCTACATACAGAAAAAAAAGATAGAGCATGGTTAGTAACTGCCAACAAGAATAATCACACTCTGATCCTACCTTCACTCTGAGAAGGTTCCGTTCTATGTAGCCTATAGAATCTATGTATTAGTTTCTTAGAGATTTTGTTGCACGGGTTTTCACATTCACAACTTGCATTACTGTGAAGTTTGTTCCTTACTGGAAAGCCACCTTTGTGTTTCTATCTTATTGAAGCTATAAAAAAGGCGATACTTTAGTGATCAGATTTAATCGCTCTCATTCTATCTACCCTTTCTGCAGAAATTCCTTTATTTTAGATTATGCTTATGGCTATATTACTGTTATAATTTGACTGGCAAAGTTAAAATAAACACATAATTTTTTAAAAAGTCACTGAAAGCAGTAACCAAATGATCAAAATGCCCTTGAAATGATTTCATGCAGATTTTTAAGATATGCAAGTCCGATGAGAAATGCGGTATTGCAAAAAAAAAAAAAAAGTCAAAGCAAGTTATTTCATAAATTACACGGACATTTCCAAGCCTATTAAAATGAAATGTATGTTTTTTACAATAACCTTTTTAAAAAAAATCCATCTAGATTTCCAAAATAAAATGTTGGCTCTGTCATATTATTATTGTTTATCTGGAAGAAAGTTCTTAACATTAATACTTTAAAGAAAACTATTAGTTGGCTTTAAATAACTCTAGAGAGAATTTTCAGCTTTACATTAGCCTATTTAAGTGTGCTAAGAGAGATTAAAACTTATGACTAATAAAGATAAAAATAATCAGAAACCGAGTGCATTTTAGAAGAAGGAAGAAAACAATGTGACTAATTTGAATTCTGACCAAAAATCCTAGTTTTTATCTAGAACGTTATGGCAGTCCATATCATTAAGACCCAAATATAGTATTTATTTTGATTACTGCTTTTTTCTTTTATTTGGGTAATAGTGACTCCTACGGGACATTTTCTTGGGTGGAAGCAGGTTGTTTTCGATGTATGAATTAAAAACTAACACAAGATTACTTCGAGGCACACAAAAACAAAAGAAGAACAGAACAGTACCCAGAAATATATCATTTAACTTAAAAACAAAACAATCCCACATTTTCTTTCCTCGGTGAATGTACTGTGAGCTGAAAATATCCAATAAAATCTCAGATCCACTGACTACTTATATAAAAACTAGAACAGTTTTCTTAGATTGCAAGGAGGGAAAACTAGAATAAAAACTGGAATAAAAAGCAGTTTATCAGGCGCACCCCCCCCCATAGCCCTGGAATTCAGGAGTATAACAGGGTTACTCTATTTCACCTTGTGGTCTTTTCACATCACCTCTTCAGCCTTTACCTAGGATCATTAACATAACTTCTTGGTTAAAAAAAGTACTTCTTGGTTTAAAAAAGAGGGGAAGGGGTAGGAATAGAAGACAAGGAAATCCAGTCTCTGAAAGGATTTTCATAGCTGTGACCCTGTGCTAAAGCACTGTCACGCTGCTCTTTTGGAAATCAGGGGCCGTTTTTCCCTCCTGGACCCTTCAAACACATACTTTATAGAGGCAGACTGGCATTTATTTTGGATATGCATTGATACAAGTTTGGATGCAGACACATGGATAATGAAAGACTCAGCAGCTTGATAAAACTGCTGCAATCTCCTCCCTGAAGTACAGTTTGGACAAAGCTACTCTCTTCTCACAAGTAAATTTCTAATGTAGTTACCTAAAGTGTTTAAAAAAAAAAAAAAACCAATCTAAATATTACAGGCTTCCAGTAAGAAGCACTTTTATTTCAGTGTTCTCTTTGATAAGCAAATCCCTTAAGTTCGTTAACTGGGATTTAAAAAAAAACAAACAAAACTATCCATAAAAACAAACATAGAAACAAAGCAAACCCAAAATCTTTCTTGAAAAATGGGAAGGATATTTACTGAGGGAGGAAGGTGGCTGGCAGGTAGTAGAGGGAAGATCAGGGATCCTAAAGGCAGAAAAGCTAAATTGCACACTGTTCCTTATCACTCTGCTTGGTACTACTTGGGCGGGGGGCGGGGAGGAGGCACTGGGGGAGACACACACATAGGCACTCCTGGTAAGTTAAAAAGAAAAAAGGACTGCAAGGTGACATTATGATAGAGGGCAAGCACATTTTCTTTCTCAGATTGCATCTACCCTCAGCAACATTTAACCTGAGATATTCCAATGCCAGATAAAGGATTTTCGGTCGTTTAGAAATGTAGTTACTCCTGCATGCATAGCTCTCTCTCTCTCTTATCTACGTACTCACACGGTTACGTGCCTCTCTCATTTGTGCTCTTACTTATATATGCTGCTCCAGTTTTAAGCCCTCCGAGTACCAGGCGACCCTACCTTCCCAGCCCTTCTCATCACACAATGCAGTCAGGTCCAGCTGGGGCGCCTCGGAGACAAAGCTCTCCTGCTGGTCATCGGCATCTTGATTCCTCTGCTGTTTGGTGTCAGGTATGCCTGGATGCTCCTGGATCTTCATCGTGGGGCTCTGCAATAACAGCACAGTGTCCCCAGATTTCTGTCACTCAACAAAACCCAAAAATGTCTGCAGCAATTCCACTCCTTCCGGATGAAACCTCCCAAGGCACAGCTGCTAATGCACCCGGCACAGAAATCAGAATCATGTCTTGATGCCCCCCAGATACGAGCTGGCCGCTTGCACGCAAAAAGCGACCGTCCATCTGCGTCCCTTTAACTTTCCTCAGGCTGCTCTTCCTGATAACTGTAGGCAGCTGACAGTCTTCATGGTTACTGATTGGGGCCAGGAATGAGGGTAAGGAGTTTGTATTTTCTTAAAGGAGTAGGGCTCTCCTAACTATAAACAACAACAACAAAAAGCCCCAGCTACTGCTGTTGCCAAGGCTGTAGCAGCAACATGGTGTGTCTTTCTTGCATGCAGACTTCTTGCCCCTTAGGTAAACAGTCCCGCAAAGCCGGGAGCAGAGGCTGTGTACACGAACTCTCCCCCGCTGGCCCTGCAGGCTTAGATCAATTAAGCCGGGCTAGCTGCACATTCCCAGATTTCCTGTGGTTGTTTTCTCGCTGAGTGTGGGGAGGACAGACTATTTATGGAGGAGCTCTGGGTATTAAAGCATTGTTGCGCAAATTCAAACAGCACAGGGGTTTGGCGTCTCATGTCAGCTAGCAGTGAGGAATACAGACTCTGGAAGCGAGCCAAAATGACACAGGGAGCATGACTTTTTGTAAGTAAAAAGTCAAAAGCCTGCAAGTCAGTGATGCATACTTTATATCTTACAAATATGCAACGGCCCCTTGTTTTCCTACTATTCATCTGCTCTGAATATTACACACTCAGTTACACTTGGTTTTGCTCATTGGTGGCAGCTACACCCGGGTCAGACATCTGAGTAATAGGAAAACTTCAAGCTATTTTATGTTTTTAAAAAAATGCATTGAAAGTAATTCTACTACATTGAAATTCTCTTTTTACCTTGTTCTCTTGACGTCTTGTAAACTCAACCATTATCTCTCTTACCTCTCTCACATAAAATCATAAACAAAAATGTTTATAAAAGAGTTTACTCACAAATATATTTCTCATGTGGCACAGAGCTGTACAAAAGATTTTCTTTGTGAGTAACTGGAAATTTATTTTAGCAAATATATTATTAAATGAAAGAACTAAAAACATCTGGAAATCATAAATGACTGCATTAATGTATGAGAAATGTTCTTCTGCTTAAAATAAAGCACTACTTAAGACTTCCAGCTACTGTTAACAGCTATCCAACCCACTTTGAAATCACCAGGGGAATAGACAGGGCTTTTACCCTTATATTTCCATGAAATGATGCATGAGAACCAGTATTTTCTTCACATTTGGGGTAAAATGAAACACCATCAATTAGGTCATGATGAGCTACTGAAATCAGATGGCAATGCCAAGTAAATTTGGAGCTTTAAGATCCTTAAAAAATGGGGAAAAATCAGATAAGGCATTTATGTCACAAAAATTATTTCTTCCTTGAGATAAAGCCAAAGTACACCAGGGTTAAATGCTCACATTTGGTGCTCAGCTTTTTAAAAGTTAACAGGGTCAGTTATCAATCAAGTGTGTGAGAGAGAAAGAGAGAGAGAATATGTATACAGCAAATACACATTTTCTCCACAACGATAATGCTTGTTACATTTAGAGACATCAAAAAGGGGGAAGAATACAGAAATCTCATTTCAATTTTAAAGCATGGTATTTTCTTCATGAGAAACACACATCAAGTCATACAAGCTGTAATGCCATGGAAAGGACATCTGAGTCTGCTCTCGGGCAGTCTTGGGTTTGAAGTGTGGCTCTGACATTTACTAGCCTGGTGGCTTTGGCTGAGTTCCTTCTCTTCTCTGGGCTTCCATCTCCTACTCTTTACAATGTCATTAATGACACAATCTTGCAAGGGTTCTTGAAGAGCTGACAGGGAGTATGACAGGCCTCTAGCCTGGTGCCCAGGGCACAAGGGACGCACAAACAGAAGCCATCACTCTATTAGTGTCTGGCATCGTATGAAGACGGATGAGTCAAGAGTCAAGCATTGCCACGCCTCAAAACTGCTGGAGAAAGGAAATGGACAAGGCACATACAACTGCAGTTCAGGGTGGAACATACCACGTCAAAGGATGGGACGGCATTTTAAATGCATTATGAAAACATATTAGCAAGAAGAGCCACTCGTGTATCTGCCATAAATCAGTAACAGCAACTTTGCTGTGGCAGGAGATAGGTGTGGGTCGGAGGGGCGGGGAGGAGAGCCCCTCACACAGAAGGGAGGAGGAAGAACAAGTGCAAAGGCAGGCGTGAGAGCAGGGTGCGCATGGTCACAGCAAGAGAAGAGGTCCTGGGTGACCAGCCCATAGGACAGGAAGGGAGCACGGTGGATAATGAGGGTGTCAGCTGAGCACATGCTGGACTCTGAAAGGCCTTATGCTGGGCTAAGTATTATGTACTTATATTATCTATAAATATATATTATGCTAGGCTGTTATATCTTTACATATTATATAAATATATATTACATAAGAGGGCTGCTCATTTGTCAGGTGCTAGAGATACAAAGATAAAACTTATTCATTTGAAAGAAATGATTTTTGAGCACTAGGGAAAGTGCAGTGGACAAAATAAAGTCTCTGTCATAATGAATCTTACAGGAAGGTGACAGTTAATAACAAATAAAAAACATTCGGACTATGGAGAAAAATCAAGCAAGGTGAGAGGGATGTTGGTGGCAGGGGTTGAGGTCTCTCACCTTACACTGTGTTCAGGGAAGGCCACTCTGATCAAGTGACATGAGCGGAAATGTGAAGGAAGTGAGAATGTGAACCATCTGTGGAAAGAGCATTCCAGGAAGAAAAAAGGCAAGTGCAAAGGCCCTGAGGCACGGTCATTTTCGTATGATTCAGGAATAACAAAGAGGTCATTGTAGCTGGAGTCCAGCAAAAGACAGTCAGGGCCTCCATAAATGAGTGTTTAGGATGTGTACTGTGCCACGTATAATGGGGCATCCTTCATACTATAGACCTGTGTTAACTTATGTGAGCTTCTGGACTTCCTGGCCGATTTCTGGCACAGCCCAGGCGAGATCCCTCCTCCATAAACCTATACCAGCTAGCACAGCCATGGGCTTGGCACGGCGAACACCTACCCTACCTGGAAATACACGTGCAGGAAATACATGTGTATCTTGGCTCTGTCCTGCTGTGCTCTCATCAGTCCCTGAGGTTGCTCTCTCACGTGCCCGCTGCTCCTAGAAGCCAGAGTCCCAATTTCTGGCCCTCTGGTCTCTGAACCTGACATGGCTGCCTTGCCTGGGGTTGCAGAGTGGGCTGCTGGCGGGTTTTTGTGAGCATGGGTGCCAGGGATGTTGCTCTGTGGTCGCCCATGGTGAAGCTCTTCAGGTTCTATAGCAAAACCCTAGCATTAAAAACCGCTCTGCTTTCAAATGTTAGTCTCGGGTGCGGGAGGCACCTTGCCAGGCTGCTCCACACTCTCTAACAGTGCTTATCATACAGTACTGCAAATATTGTCTGTTTGCTTGTAGATCATTAGGGTTAAAATGTCAAGGGCATCCTCTAACACGAAGGTATTTTTGATTTCACTGTTTATTATTTATATGTCTAATATCTTCAGTTCAATCAGAGAATAAATAAATTTCCCAACTTTCCAGATGTCCCTACATTGTGATGTGACACACCAAACCCTTGTCAAAAATGCTATCTATACTACATGCAAACAACACTAAATATCGAAATAAACTAGGTGTTTGGCTCTTAGGTGAGATAATGTAATATGGCAGATTAGGGTGGGTTTTGGAGGCAGAAACCCAAGATTAAATATCAGCTTTATTAGCTGTGAGGCCTTCAGTGAGTAAACCTCTTTGAACTTTAGCATTTTTCCCTCTAATACAGGAAACGAGGCTTTGTAAGATTGTTGTGAGGATTAAGCAAAAAAAAAGTATAAAAAAGCTGATAGAAACTGTAAAAAAAAAAATGCTATTTCCATTTATACTCTACCTCCCTTTCCCATTCATTCATTTGGCAAATTTTTATTGAACATATACTATGCCCAAGGCACTGGAATTAGGAGCAAACAAGATACGGGATTTAGTGAGGAAGAGAGACATTGAACATACAAGTGCCAACTGTCACATATGCTATAAAAGAAAAACACGGGGTGCTAGAGAGCAAATATGGAGACAGCTCACCTCTTTTGGGGTCTCAAGTGACATTTCACATTCGGGTCAAGACATGTCCCTGTCCAGTTGGGGCCTTTTTCTATTAATATTTCCAGACTTTATTGATCCTGCTCGTTCCCTGGCTTGGAAAAGTTGGTGAATTTTTGTTCCGTCCCTTCTCCCTCCCTGCACAGGATATGGACAAGTGGCCCAGTTAATGGCTTACGAGAGCCGGGAATGACAGTATCAGAGGGTGTGCTGAATAAATGCAGTTTGCACAGGAAGAAACCATAGTGTTAACAGAAGAGAAACACATGGAACATTTACTGGTTGGACTGACGATGAAGGAAAATGGGCACAACAAAATTTTAAAATCCATGTGGACTGCAAAGTTTCATTAGCCTTTTTCAATTGGATTGAATTAGAAGTGAATCTAAATAATCAGAGCTATTAAAACTTTCCAGTTCTAGTATTAAAACCGGTAACAATGAAGCTTCCATGAAATACAGTGAAGTTGAAATAACGGCAGTCCACTTCATAAATACTTGTTAATGGGGATATTTCAGAAATTCACCTTTTATTTTCAGGGCAAATAAAAACCTACACTTGAGATCTTGTGATAACTAATATTAATTCTCAGTCTTGACTGAAAAAAGACTTGTCTTCTCTTTTTTCTTCCTCTCTTCTTTTACTTTTTTTTCTTTTTTTAAAGCAGGATGAGAAAAAGGGAAATAGTCTTTGGTTTATTGTGAATGTCTTGTTTGTTATCAAAGCTATGCTTTTAAGCTTTCTTAAGCAGTAGGCTTATTAAGCATGAAGAATGTAAAAATATCTTGAAAGAATTTAACACTTTCTTGACCTTATAATTTTGACATAAAGTGAGCTCTCCCAGATAATGTAATACCTTCACTTGTAGTTAATAATTCTTATTTTTTCTCTTGACAAAAAGATTCATTGTAAGATTATAGTTTTAATATTCTGAATTTTATACAGAAGCATAAGATATTTTCATAATAGGAAATAACTTATTGGAAGGAATTGCACTGAAGCATAAGGTATAAACTCCACAGTAAACAGAACTCTGCGTTTTCAGTGCTATCTTTTAGAATCTAGAAATTGCTAGTTTTAAGGATGGTCTCTCTTCTAGAGAGATGCCTGAAGTTGTTAAAAAAATTTAAAAACAAAAGAACCAAGACTCTAGATTCTGCATGCCCAGGAAATAGTGTGCTAGGCTCTTCCTTATGTTATTTTATACAGCCTGGACAGGATATTTTATTAAAATGTCAGCCTTTCTAGAACCTACCTGAAGAAACTGTACTTTAATTTTTGGCACTTTGAAGTGACTCTTAACTTTTTTTTTTCATTGCCATTCACTAAACAAATTTCAATCCAAACCACATAAGAAACTCATATGAACCACATATGAAATCTCATATGAAATAGAAACAGGTCACAATCATTGACTGATGCACAACTGAGATCTCAGTAGAACCATGACACAAAGGTCTGATAAACCCATGTTCACTTTCAGCACATGCCTTCAAATAAAACACATTCAAGGCTGTAAATTGATTATTCAAAAATAAGGTCATAGTTGTGCCTTCATTTGCCTTTGAGAAGCAGACCTAAGATATGCCTCTCTCTAAGGAGCATTTCTGAGGCTGAAAATTATTGTTCCTCATTCTAATGGAAATACTAGTTAAAAACACTTTCCCCAAGAGCTGTCATTTGCTGTGTTATCTTATATAAATCTGAGTGTTCACAAGGAGAATTTTTAAAGACAATATTAATAAGGACAAAATTTATCTTAATGGAAAATGAAATTAGAAACATTACATCATCTTTCCATAGTGGGCATGTAAATTCTGGCATCTCAAGCTGATGCTGTAGTAGACTTGAAACAAAGTAAATACTGATTAAACAGAATTCTAGGAGGAGTAACCAAAGTTTAGACTTATTCTCGTCTCTGAATCTGAATTTTAGGGATTATTGCCATTTTACCAGAAAACGAGATAAACTATTTGGGTGGTATTATTACAGTAAGTTTTAGGAAGTGCTACATGTATTGAAAAGAATTTACAACACACTGAGATAAGGGAAAGAGCCTAACAATGGAAAACAGATCTTTTCACAGTCTTTTGTGAATAATAATAAAATACATTTCTTTCGGCGAAAGAAACACCCGGACTCCTGAATAGAAATAATCCCAATCTGTGGAGGGATGTCTTACTCTTCTTCTTTGGTGCAGCTGTGATAGAAAGGTGACATGGAGAGCTTAGTCTAGATTTTAACTCACCACCTAATTTTATATCCTAACTGAAATTGTCATGATGACAATGATTATTAATAGTGAATGCTCTAGGAGTGTCAACAGTGGGCTGGGTGCTGATTGGTGGCTATACATGGGTGACAGATGTAAGAACAGGACTTGGCACGTGGAAGAGGGATTTGAGATTGTTTCCCCATGATTCATCCACTGGCATGGGAGCTGTCCCGAAAAAGACCAAGGCAAACTGAGTTCAGCATGAATTTAGTTTTGGTGCCACCTGGAATTTATGAGTTAATGTTATGAAGTCCTTCCACAACAGTTACTCTGTTCTCTTTTATCTCGTAACACATAACAGGCATAAAAGGGAAGAACTGAGAAGGACCTCTCCAGGAAGCTGGCAACGTGATTTTCTTTAAAATAATGTTCGATGGCAGATGAGTAGGTGCCTGCTGTGAATGGAGGAAGACAGCACAGAAGGAATGAAACCAGAAAAAAGAAATCATTATCACGAGGGAAATGTGCTCTTAGAAAAGGTGCTTGGAGACAAGGAGAGAAAGTCAGCTTGTGGCCGTGGGTCTGAGGAAGGAAGCACAAACGAGTTGGAAATAAGAGATGAGAAAAGTGGCTCAGAAGCTGGGAAGTCAGGAAGAGGAAGTATTCCTCTCCTTTTTTCTGGCTAGGTTAATAAGAAGTATACATGAAAAGAGCTGAATAGAGGACACAGGCGGTGTTTACAGCAACAGTATTAGGGTGTGTGCATGCGGGGTGGCCATTAATTTCTGGCAATTTTTGCAAGATTTTACGTGAGAGTACAATTTTCTAAGAAAAAGACCCACGGCTTTCTGATTCCTAATCTGCTGGACTGTAAAACTCCATGGGGGCATGAACTGTTGCCATGGTTAAGTTGCAGCACCTAGCACAGGACCCGGGTGTCGTGGGATTTAATATATGTTGTTGAATAAATTCATCAGTGACTTAGGTCAGCACCCGACAAAGATTAAGCATTGATGGGTCGGAGGGAGCATTCTCTATATAATTAATATATTGAGAGTCAGAATTTAAGAGTAGGTTGAAAAAAAGGTTAATTTTTGTCAAAAACAAAACTGATGAGACTGGAGGCAGAGCTGGAAGCATTTGGAGGCTGCAGATTAACACATACATGAATTAAAACAAGGCTCACACACTGAATGGAAGCAAGAGTCAGGACCGAGGGAAACCAAATACTTGGGTCTGTGTGGTGGTATCCTGTGAGGACAGAAGGGAAGTCAGGAGTGTAAACAAAAATTGAAAATATAGACAATGTAAGGGAGTTAGAGATTTCTTTCTCCATTTATTAAAAATGAGACACAAAACTCAAAAAACAAATTGGATTAAATAATGAATTTGTGTTAATTTGGAAATTAATGAGCTAATCCTGTGACAGATTCACTAAAACTCACAACCTATAATATTCCAGTCACTTAAAAAAATGTATCAAATCATGGAAATCAAACAAGTAGCTTTGACGTTTTACTTTATAGAAAATCTAAAGAGAAATTCCCATGCTATTAATGTTTATCTTCACAAGCAAAGTAATTTGTAAAGCAAAATAATGGAATTTTTATGATTTCTCAAGGAATCTGTAAGTCTTTCTAGGTTATTTGCCTTTCAAACCAATCACAGTCTCACTACCTAATCGCTACCTACCTTATTATCCTGTATTGACAGGCTGATAATATTTCACACGTACAGTCAAGAATGCATGAACAGACCTGTCACCGTCATATTCTTGATGGCTACTCACCTCAAAATGCTGGGTATATCCACCATCTTTTTCATTTTCTTTGCTATAAACAACAGCAAATATCATAAAATGTCCATTTGTTTCATAAAAATGCTTTTTATTCATTGATATGATTTCATTTAGTTTAAAAGGAGGTTGAGTATCTTTAAATGAAATTCTTATAAACTTCAAAAACAAAACAAAATTAATCAAAATAATACAAAACTAGAAACAAAAACAAACATAACTGTCATTATTTGCCTTCAATAGTACCATGGTAGATTTTCTATTCTAAACATTTTCCTTTCTATAAAATACTGTTGGTAAAAACATACAGTCCATTAATTCCACTCTTCTTAGTTTTTATAAACTCACATGGCATTATACGAAAAAATATCTTTTCATACCCTTGCAAACAATGTGAAGAGAAAATTCTAAAAGTACCTTTCATCAGACATCCGTTCAACATCACCAGGTCCAGTCCTCTCCTGAGACTGTGTAGAACTGAGACTGTCCATATTCTGCAACAGAACAATTATTAGTGCCCATGGGGAATGGTAAGAAATATGCAACAAGCAGACCCTCCCTTTCTTTAAAATAATCAGGTAATATGTAAATATAAGCTAATCTTAGTCCTCATATTTCTATCTTTGTTAAAACTAGTAAAATTATGAATTTATTAAATGCTGCTTTTATAAAACTGCATATTGAGCTTGATCATTCTTTTAACAAAGAAGATATCTGACAATATCATAGAAACAGGCATTGGGCCCTATAATGTCTTTGTTAGGTATTACCCACATTTTGTAGCTAAACACAGCAAAACCCAGACTGAACTCAGAGATTCCTATCTGCGTTAAAAGGATATTAAGCATAATTCACCCATCCTGTGCCATTAAAGAAAATATATTGAATCAACATATAATCATCTACATATTAATAACCTTCCATTATGAAAAAATTTACAAAATAAATCTGATTAAGGTTCACAACAAACCCATAAAATTGGCATGTACAAAAATCTACACAAAGTAAATATATAATTAGAGTAGGAAACTAATCTTTGGCTTGGTAAATAGATGAATTATTTTTCCATGTAAGTTGGGTCTAGAATTCTCAGTTTGATACCCTGGGCTTCATTAAGGAATAGAAAAAAAGGTACAACATAATATTTACGATGGTGGCTCTGGAGTCAGAATGCTTAGTTTAGAATTCTAGTTCCATCATTGGTCAACTGTATGACTCTACTTGAGCCTCAATTTCCTCATGTGGAAAATGAAGACAGCAACAATAGTTAACATAGGGTTGCAATGAGGAGTAAACAAAATAACACGTGTAAAGCATCAGAATAATGCCTGGTATGTTTAATGAATATTAGTAGTCATTGATGTTATTACTTCTAAAGCTATCAAATCTCCAGGGAAAATATTTTATTGCTATTTGTCCACAGTGAAGACAGTGTCTCAAGAATCAGACAGAGTTTGTGTCTGCCATTAGGACACAGAACATCAATATACACAGTTAGACAATTTGAGAATGGATCTGAGAAATAAAAAAAAAAATTATGACAACATTCAATTATATTTATACTTTTGAAGTTTGAGTTAGAAGAGGCCTCTATAAAACGGCTTCCATTAAACTAAGCATAGTGGCTCTTATTACCCGAATGTGTCCTTCTTGGTAAAGAGGGATATATCTGTGACAAAGAATCTTTGTTCCCACAAAGATCTTCACCAAAGATTATCAAAATCTTTAGTGTAAGATCTAGCGCAATAGTATTAGGTTTTCCTAAAGCTCTGAAACATGAATTCCAAGGGAGAGCACACTCTATCTTCAGATCATTTCAAAACAGTGTCAAAGAAGTGATACATTTATAATTATATGTAAATGACTATTATAGAGGAAATGAAAATTTTCAGAGGCCAAGAAAAAAGTTATGTCGCACAATAGAAAGCTTTGCAAAAAGCAGTTGTGAGAGGTAGAAAGCTTACCTGATCTCCAGGGTTAGAACAAATGAGTATTAAACTTGCTTAACTCCCTACCTACTTTATAAATGTTTCAGTCATACGTTTAAAAACTCTCCAGTGATCTGAGGTTTTATAGCTGTAATTCATGAAGGCTGATTTTCAATACTGTTCGATTTTCCTCTGTAAAATTTTTCAACAATTCTAATTGTCATGTTGTTTCCTCACACATCTGAGACTGTTGAATATTCATTGTCTGGTTTTACTAAAACAGCATGCAAATACGCTGTGTTCCTTTGCTAAAGCAGTTGAGTTGCACCTAGAACTTCTGGAAATAAGGAACATCTGAAGAATGTGTTACGACTGGCAAAGTATTCCAGTTTTTTCAGAATGAAACAAGGGCGGTAAAGATCTATGCATACAATAACAAAACTACCTTTTTCCTTGGGCACAAAACGTTTTATAAATTCTAATTTCCATCTTTTGTCTAAGGTTTAGGGAGGAAAGATTGAGATAAAGAAATAGATCAGTAAGTTCCCCACATCACTGAGATGGGGCGGGGGAAAATGTAATGTACAGGTCACATATGCTGACGTGCAGAATACTTCTATAAGAGAAGGATAATACTGGACTTTCAAATGTGCTGCAGTTGCTAACAGTACTTGTCTTACAAGAAAATACTGACTCAAGTGTCTTTTGAAGGTTTTGAACTGTTTCATGTCACAAACATACCTCTCTAGGTGTGATAAGAGTAGTCCATAAACGTTCTCATTTATTAAAGGCTGAAGTAGTAGAATTCTTGTAGAAATGTGTTATTGCATTAATTTTTAATTACTCATCTAAAATTTAGGCTCTTTTAAAGGTAACAGATAATTTTTTTTAAAAAAAATCAAAGACTAGATTGTGACTTTAAGTCTAATTTAATGAACCTGCTTCAGGCAATTTTTTAAACCAAATAAAGCCTAGTTTACAGTCCATAAAATTTTAATTCATATAAATACTGACTTTCAAAACAGATTCATTGTGATGTAATTTATTTTGATAATTTTGGGGTGCAATAATAATTTCAGGAGGAACTGAGTTATAAAAAACACCCTCCTTAATTATAAAAATAACCTCAAATCTAAAAGAGCAAAAGCCTCGATAAAGTTAGCTTTATAATTTATTTTTAATTTCCCCTCCCCCCATGCTGGCATTGAAAGTTAGGCTCAAAACCTGTTTGACCACTGACTGGAACACGGAGTAAAAACAAATTCGTCTTCTAAAATTGTAAAATGCTGACAAAGCCTTAATAGAGGACACTAAAAAAAATGCCTTCTCTCAATATACAAACAGCTCAATCTGAAGGCTACAGGAACACTGCTAGTCAAAACAGGTTAATTATTCTAACCTTGAGCTCTAAGAGAATATTTTATAGAGGCTCATTAACAAAGGATTAATGGCATATTTGAATTCCTTTTTGTACCCTTTTGCGCATTTTGTGTTTTACTGCTTAAAACTGTATAAGCCGCTGGGCGCGGTGGCTCACGCCTGTAATCCTAGCACTCTGGGAGGCCGAGGCGGGAGGATTGCTCAAGGTCAGCAGTTCAAAACCAGCCTGAGCAAGAGCAAGACCCCTTCTCTCCTAAAAATAGAAAGAAATTAATTGGCCAACTAAAAATATATAGAAAAAATTAGCCGGGCATGGTGGCGCATGCCTGTAGTGCTTGAGCCCAGGAGTTGGAGGTTGCTGTGAGCGAGGCTGATGCCATGGCACTCTAGCCTGGGCAACAGAGTGAGACTCTGTCTCAAAACAAAACAAAACAGAAAATTGTATAAGCCAATCCATATTCAAAAAGAACTACTGGTATCACAAAGGATCCCTATGGAAGAGCTTGCTACCTGTTCACCCAAAACCCATTCTACGTTTCTTCCATAGTAATGAAGTAGCCATACACCCAGCCTCTCTTGCAACTGGATATGGCCATGTGACTGACTTCTCTCTATGGGAAGTGACTTATGTGGCTTCTAGGCCTGGCCAATACAAGCTCACCAGGTGCGGATGCTCTTCAGCTTATGATGGGGCTGTGTCCTGATAAACCTGCTCTAAGTTGAAAATACTGTAAGTTAAAAATGCATCTAATATGTCTAACCCACCAGATGGCACAGCTTGGCCTAGAATACCTTAAATGTGCTCAGAACACCTACCTCAGCCTTCAGTTGGGCACAAACGCCTAACAGAAAGACTGTTTCGTAAGACAGTGTTGAATATCTCATGTAATTTATTGAATACTGTACTGAAAGTGAAAACCAAAATGGCTGTATGGAAACTCCCCAGCTGCTGCCTTGTTTTCCTCCATCCCTGTAGAGCAAAACCTGTTCAAAGACCTTCCATATTTGCAGTAACCAACTCATTTCCTCCAACACTTTCTTGAACCCACCTAACCAGGCTTTTGCCTCCCTTTTTGCATCAAAATAGCTCCCATCAAGGTAGTTGTGGGCTAGCTAGATATATTTGAAATTATTACCCATACACTACTCCAATTTCTTTCTTCTGATTTTCTCTTGATCCAAATCTAATCTGTTTCTTTTGATGGTACCTCCTCATCTGCCTACCCCCTAAATGTTGGCATACGTCACAGCTCAATCCTTGCACCCTTCTTTTTACCCTCTATGCTTACTCCTTAGGCGTTAGCTTATCTAGTCTTAGGCTTTAAATGCCAACTGTGTGCCAAAGACTTCCAAACTTCCTTATTTCATCTCTCCCTTGAACTCCAGATTAACACATCTGTCTACATGACTTCTTTATTGACAAACCTCTGAAGCTTAACACATTCAAATGGAACTTTTGGTTTTCTCTCCTAACTCCTGCAGTTTTCTCCATTTAAGTAATGGCAACTTCATCCTTTAGCTACTCCCGAAGTCTTGAAGTCATCCGCACCCCACTCTTTCTTCCCAACCTACATCCATTCCATTAGAGAATCCTTTTGGTTCTACAAAATACATACACAGCCTGACTGCTTCTTACTACCTCCCTGCTATCACCCTGGTCTAAGCTGGTATCATCTCTTGCCTAGATCATGTCAGTTATGTTATTTTAATCCTTGTCCATCTCTTACCACCCTTACACTGTTCTTAACACAGGTGACAGAATGATCCTTTCATAAGGTATGTCAGAAAATGACTTCCTTCCCCTCTCAATCCTCTAAATCAGGCATCCTCAAACTACAGCTTGCGGGCTGCGGGACATTTATCCCGTCCGCCGGGTGTTTTTGCGGCCTCTGCCTGTCCCGCTTAGCAGCTGACTCGTCCCGGGCCCACAGTGCGCATGTGTGGAATGTGCGCCGCACTCTCCAACGGCCCTCCAACAGTCCGAGGCACAGTGAGCTGGGCCCCTGTTTCAAAAGTGTGAGGACCCCTGCTCTAAGGGCTTCTCATTTTATTCAAGGTAAATGCTGAAGTCCTAGTAATGGCTACAAAGCCTTAAGTGATCAGGACCCCTGCTACGTCTCTGACCTACCATGATCCTCTGGCCTACCTCCTACAAAACTGTTCCAGCCACAGCAGCCTCTTGCTGATCCTCAAGGCTAAGCCCGCCGCACCTCTGCCTAGATATTCTCTCCCCAGACATCTGGATGGCTCATTTCCTCATCTCCCTGAAGTCCCTGCGAGTATAATTCTCAGTGAGGCCCGACCTGAGTGTTCTCCGTATGACATCAATCCTTAACCTCCCACCATTTTCTATCTTCTTCACCTGCTTTATTTCTCTCCATACCACATCAGGCCATCTGACTGTATGTTTACTTGGCATCTTAGCTGTCTTACTCTATGAGAATGTGAACTTCAGGAAGGCAGAGTGTGTGTCCCTTCTGATCAGAGTGGCAGGAGTAAGATTATTAGATAAAACGAAGGAATGAGTTATGGCTTTTGATTCAAATTGTTAAATTATACCCTACAGAGAAAGTTTCTGGAGATAGAGACTTTTTTCTAGGCCAATGGAAGTGATCCAATGAAGAGGAAGCAATGAAAAGTGTGTGTGTGTGTGTGTGTGTGTGTGTGTGTGTGTGTGTACACATGCATAGGGTAGGATGGGAGACAGATGTAGAAAATAGAACTTCTAAAGATACTGTTCCCCTTAAAAGTTAACTTTAGAATTTAGGAACACCACTTTATCATCTGAGCAGGTGAGAAAATAAAATGGTCAGAGAGCTAGAGAAATTCTGAAGTGAAGTGAGGGAAGTTGTTGACACACAAGCTGGCTCTCTCCACTCTTCAAAGTGAAGCAGGGATATGATTGTCTTCTGAGAAAAGACGGAAGGGCGCAGGTATGAGCTAGGGGTTGAAGGAGATGGTTGGGATTGTGGCAATAATTAGAGACAAAGCAGAGCAGCCTACTGACACTGATTTCTGAGCTCTGAATTACCTATAGTCACTCTGCCTCTGATGGTCATGATATCCTTGAGGGGCAAAGGGACAAAGGGGAAAGAAAGTACCTAGACAATCCCAAATTTAGAGATACCAAATTTTGGGGATGTTTTTCCAGGTCTACCTCATATTCTCCTCTTTGCCTGTGCTGTGGGGCTAGCAAGATCATTGTGCCTTCGGTTACTCCCCAACCATCATCTCTCTTGAAAATGACTTTTGCTCCCATCTATCTACCAACACTGCTCTTGCTAAGACCACCAGGGAGCTCCGCTTTGCTAATTTCAGTGGTGAAGCTGGCAGTCCTTCTACTTGACCTATCATCTGGCTCTCCTTCCTCCTTGAGCCCTTGGTTACTTGGGTTCCAAGACACCAAACATACTTCGTTTTTCTTCTACTTTTCTGGCTGCTTCTTCCTAAGTCTTCTCCAATCCTTTAAATGTTAGTGTGCCTCAGGGCTCTGGGCATGGGCCACTTTTCTTTTCTATCCATATTTGTTCCCTTGGTGATCTCAGCCAGTGGCGTTAAATATCATTCATAATGCTGATGACTCCCCCACACTTGTATTTCCAGCCAGGACATCCTCTCTGAACTCCAGGCCTAGAAATCCAATTGCCTTTCTCATATCTCCACTTAGAGATCTAATGGGCAGCTTGATCTTGACATGTCCAAAACTGAACTGAGGCTATCATTCCCAACACTTCCACTATCTTCCTCATCTCAGTAAACTGTCAACACCAATCTCCTAGTTGCTCAGATCAAAAATCTAGGCATCATCTTTGACTTCTCTATTGCTTTCATACCCCACGATCAAATCTGTCAGGAAATCTTGTCAATTCTATCCTCAAAACATATCCAGAATACCTCCATTTCTGAACCCCTCCCCTCATGACCACTGCAGTCCATGACCCCAACAGAAACCACGCATGTTTTAATTGATGGGAACATGCCCCCTTAATGCAGCACCGTGCTCAGCCTTCAGGGCCAGAAGTATCACCTCAGTCCAAACTGTCAGCATCTCAAACCTAGATTACTGCAGTGGCTTCCTTAATGGTGTTCCAGCTTCTGTCCTTGCTCGCTCCCTGTCTATTCTCAGCACGGTAGTCACGCCAAATTTAAGCAAGCCAGATCACTGTTCTATAGAACAGTGATAAGAACCCTCCAATGGCTTCTCATCTCACCCAGAATAAAGGAAGAGTCCTTACAATGATCTATGAGGACTTACTTAATCTGCCCTCTCTTCCTCATTATCTCTTTTACTTTGCTCACTCTTTTCCAACCAGAGTGGTGTCTTTGTGTTTTCTTGAACATTTCAGATAAATGACTGCTTCAGGGCCTCTGTACCTGTGGTTCTGTGTGGATGGTTCGCTTCCTTACTTCCTCTCGGTCTTTACACTCAGATAGCAAATTCTTGGGGAGGTCTTCTCTGACCACTCCATTTAAAATTGCATCCCTTGTATGCCTGCACAATTCCTGTCCCATTCTCTGCTTAATGTTTCTTCCTAGTAGTTATCGCTAATATACTTTATGCTTTATTTATCTTTTTTTCATTTTTATTTTTTATTCTGGAGTATTATAGGGGCACAAATGCTTTGGTTACATAAATTGCCTTTGTACCGCCTGACAAGCGTGCCCATCCCCCAGACAGCGCATACTGCATCTGTTATTTATCTTGATTATCGTCTCTTTCCCCTGCTAGAATGTAAACTCCATAAAGGCAGGACTTTTCCCTGTTTTTCTCACTACTGTGAACCCAGGATCTCAAATATTTCCTGCTACACAGAAGGCATATAATTATGTGTATATAGGCTGGGCACAGTGGGCTCCCGGCTTTAATCCTAGCACTCTGGGAGGCTGAGGCGGGAGGACTGCTTGAGCTCAGGAATTCAAGACCAGCCTGAGCAAGAGTGAGACCCCGTCTCTACTATAAATAGAAAGAAATTAGCCAAACCAGTAAAAATAGAAAAAAATTAGCTGGGCATGGTGGCACTCGCCTGTAGTCCCAGCTACTTGGGAGGCTGAAGTAGGAGGACTGCTTGAGCCCAGGAGTTGGAGGTTGCTGCGAGCGAGGCTGACGCCACGGCACTCTAGCCTGGCAACACAGTGAGACTCTGTCTCAAAAAAAAAAAAACCAAAATATATATATATATGTAATATATTTTTAAGCTATAGAAACAAATGTTTGGTCAGAGTGTAAAGAACTTGAAGTGGGGTAGGGAAAGGCTTTTGAGGATAACTTTCAGGATGTAGTCTAAATACTAGCCATTGTTATGTTCCTTGGCACTTTGCTTCATGGTTACTTGTGAAGATTAGATTTTAAAATTCATGGAATATGAGAAAAGATTTCTGAGAATACCCTCAACTTTACAGATGAGGAAGTTTTTCTTCTAAGTTATGTTGGCAGGGTTTTAAATTATTCATTGAAGCAAAGACATGGTCCACTGAGCTCACTTATGTTAACATGTGACATGAACAATTCTGGAACGCGGAAACTGGCAACTGAGATGGAGGTAAATCCTTTCACATAAAAAAGACCCAGTGGGGTCTTTTAGGACCTTCCATCCACATGTTTTTAAACAATGACTATGTTTGTAGTTTTTATCAGTCAACATATATTCTGAGGAATAAATGTATTTTTCCACTTCTATTAACTATTACCACCTCACTAACTTAAGACATTATTCTGAGTGGGAAAAAAATTATTAATGGGTTAAGTTACTATAAAAAGGGATTCAAACAGAGAAGTACATTCTTTTTAAGCTCTAAAGCCAAGTCTTAGAGATATCTGGTGACTAAAAGTCTTTTTGGCAGATAAATAAATCATGGGCCAAATAAAGAACTAAAAAAAGCTAGTATCATTTATTTTATTTAAATATTTATTTTTAACAAAAAATAATTAAATCATCAATGTTAAAAAATAGTTAATATATACTAATTCCAAAGCTTAATTTCTTTGAGAACTGTATCAGACATAAGTCTGAGGTGGGTGATTATTTCTGTCCATTCTACCTGATCAGTTTACTCTTAGAAACTAAGCATCAAGACATTTTGAGAGAAAAATCACATAAATGTGTTTTCTCCTAGATTTGCATTTATGTATATTTCACCTAGGGCAAAATTGGGAATCTTCTCTGAGCACATGCAAAGATTGACAATGGGAAAACTGGTGGCTCATAAATTTTGTTAAATGTATGGAAAACTCAGCATGGAGCAGAAACCCAGCATGGAGCTAAAAACCGATCAAAGTACATCAAAGGATTTTCACACCAAATAGTAAGAATAGATATTGCCTATTTTTATTAGAGATTCCAGTTCATGTTATATTATAAAATTTATCTCCAGGCCTTTTGTTGTGTAATCTTTTTTTAAATTAAAAAGGCAGACCTTGGTTCTCACTTTTTAGGGAAAGTAAAGCATAAAAGAAAAGGGATGATGAATATTGAGAGTTACACTGAATAAATATTTAGTTATTGACTAAACCACTTGTAAAACTTACACTATATGTGGAATTAATGATCCAGGACTCAGGTCTGAGGCAACTGTGTAGGGGACTAATTTCTTTTTGTTTCTGATTAATTTGGAAGAAAATACAGAATATAGATTTTAAACTAAATTTCTGAACATGAAGAGATTTCTGAACACAAAAATAAGTCGATCCTCTTTCCCTATGTATTTCTTTCAGCTCACTTTAGGTTCACTTGTTAATTTTTTTTTTTTACATATTCATATAGACAAGAATAAATAAAGGAAAATAAATAAGGAAAATGCTTTATGGGCAATTTTACTCCAAAAATAAAGTTTAAAAATGCTTTAAAAAATGAGATATTAAGGTATTAATATTTTAAAGAAAAAAAAAATGAGATAAAAATAGGACCAATTTAAATAACACAGAAATCAAAGTGTGTGCTGTCTCTTGTCCCTATGGCAGAATGCAGTATTTCTTGGCCTTAATCTTTATATATATTAAAGAAGAATACAAATGTGTATACTCAATAGCTCTAAGGTCTCTCTCAGAACTTATATTCTATAATTCTGTGAAACTCAAAGACTGAAATTACTTTTAACTTTTTTACAAAGTAAAGAAAAGAGATGTGATATTTCCTAACTGGCTATAAGTTAAAACTTTATAGACATATTCACTTACCACAATACCATCTTGATTTTCATTGAGCTCAGAAAGTTTAGTACTGGATTTCTGACGTTTAGGTTTGCTCCTTTCTCCAATATAACCGGAAGTATTTTCATGTAATTTTTCGACTTCCTGAGTGTTCGAAATACAACCATCAGGGTTGTTGAATCCAGAAGGAATATTTTCTTTGTTGATAAGTCCCCTTGAATTGAAAAACAAAAAAGTTTAATTTTATTTTAAAAAGTAAAATAGACATTTAATGATACTGCTACTGCATCACATCACATATAGGAAGTTGAAAGAATGCCCAAAACTTCCAGTTTGCATCTTTGATCAAAATCTCAGCAGAGTGCCTGTCCCGAGAATGCTTGGTGCCAAATAAGTCACATTAAAAGACAAATTATCCTAGAGGCAAATTGGCAAAGGCTATGTTTCTACCAATGAACAGCTTTTGTATTTTACCAAAAGTAATTTGTATTCAAACAGAGAGAACAGTGCAAGTTTACACCCATTATTCACAGATGTTAATATATGTTTAAATTCATAGATTATGAGGATTAATTAATAATATGGAGGAATAACTGAAAAGGAACTGTGATATCTTCCTAGATTGGGACATAAGGATTTTCCCAAATGATAGAGGACATTTTAGTAGTGTACAAATGCATAAATATTCAAATCTTATTGAATTATATAATCTTGGTAGAAATTACATACGTTAATAAAAGCTATGGAATAAAAAGCATTTTAACTGAAATATGGATTTTTTAACTTCTCAGTACAAAGGAGTTCCAGGATGTAAGCTTATAATGCGGAAGTCATTCATGACTTAATTTTAGAAGAAGATATAAATGTTATAATTATAGAACTTAATTCATTTAATGGCCATGTAACAATTTTAAGTATTTATGAACATTCCTGTAATAGGTTTTCACAAAATTAAATTGCTTAGCAATCTGGACTTTCTTTTTCCAAAAAACTATATCATGGAGTAAATTACGCCAGCAGCACAGCACTGTGGCTTGGTAAGGAACAAATGAATGAGATTTTTACTCTCCTTCATTATATGACTGAGCTAATGTATCTCCCTAAATACTTAAAGCTGTATCTTAAAATAAATGAGTTTTAAAGAGTAAAAATAGATGCCATATTTTACTATCAGCTCAACCATATCAAAATATGAGAGATAACATTAAATATTTATCCCACAATCTAAATTCATATCGTTCAGCTATGATGAAGGCAAAATTGTGAATTAAATACTATCATAATATTTTCAAAGTTATGCTATCTTTGGCAATTTTTAACACTCTTAATTTAATCTTATTTTCTATAACTTTAGTGTGAAATATATATATAGTGAAATTATATAAAGGATTTCTGCACATCTATAAGAAATATTTTAAGTATAAAGTAATTAAAGAGAGGAGGAACAGCTAATAGGGACAAAATGCAAGCACATATGCTCATGCAAACACTTAAATCTCTCCTTCCACGCTATGAGTGGTGCTCTCTCTGTGCTTGGCTGGATGAGTTTGTTCTACAACTCAAAATTATTTGTTTTGCTATTTACATTCTGTCTTCTTATCACTCTTTCCTAACTCCTGGGGTATATGTCCAATTGTAATTTTTTTAATGGAGGACTTTTCATGTTTGAAAGCTATTATAGAACGAATCATGTTCCTTCACAAATTTACATACTGAAGCCCTAATCCCCAATGTGACCATATTTGTAGACAAGGCCTTTAAGGAGGTAATTTAGGTTAAAAGAGTCGTAAGGGTGGGACCCTAATCTGACAGGGCTGTTGTCCTTGCGAGGAGAGGAAGAGACATCAGCAGAGCGGGCACACAGAGGAAAGGCCATGTGAGAGCGCAGTGAGAAGGTGGCCTTCTGCAAGCCAAGGAGTGCGGTCTCACTGGAAGCCAAAACTGCTGGCACCTTGACTTTGAACTTCCGGTCTCCAGAACTGTTAGAAGCTACATTTCTCTGTTTAAGCAACCTGATCTGTGGCGGTTTGTTATGGCAGCCCAAACAGACTAATACAAAGACTAAAAATCATTTTTAAAGATCAGAAAACAAAGTGTACCATCTTTTTGAACAGCAAACAAATGACTAGAATAAATCTTGTCAAAATAAATACATGAAAATCTGACCACGCAGTTGTGCTCATGTGGAAATCCTGTTCTCCCTAAAGGAAAAGTCTTTGCTTTCGTGTGCACAGGTCTCAGCTATAGTTCCGACACGACGTACGCGTGCAGAGCACAGGTACGTAACTCCCTCCTGCAACACTGTCAGGTTCAGTCACATCTGACATAAGTTGGATTTGACCTAAACTTAGACCTCTGGGCCTTTCACTTCAATTATCTAGATCTTATCTCCAGTTTTTTTTTTCCAGAGTTTCCTCCTCACCCCCTACATACTTAACGTTCTAGTAATACTAAACTATTTATTATTCCACTAATATATTATGTTTTGCTTTTTCTTTTTACTTTGCAGTAGGATTTTAAAGTAATATTTACATAACAAAAAAAGTTTGGATCAATTTTCCAGTTCACTGTTCAATTTGGAAGACTGAAAACATTTTCATTTAAACGATGCTTATTATTATTATTTTTTTAAAGGCAATGGATATAGAAATATATTTTTGGTAAGAAAGGTGAGACAGAAAGATTAATGTAAAGAAATGATCTTGCATGGAACTTTTTGTCCTAAAATGACTGGTTATTTAAGAAAAGGGAATATTAGGACAAAACAAAGTTTTAAGGTATATTTTGTAGAAAATGTATGGTACATGCTGGTTGGGATAAAGTTTATGAAAGGGAATTTTTAAATTTAAAAAAATTTTTTTTTATTTTAGCATATCATGAGGGTACAAGTGTTAGGGTTACTTTTTTCAAACATATGCAGAAGTAGAGAGACTATCACAACAAACTTCCATATACCTATAACCAAAATTTCAAATTTCCATATACCTGGCAGATGGTTGATTTTTTACTAAATGAATTAAACTGAACCCTTTTACATAATAAATATAAATTTCTTAAAATTTTATGTTTTTACTGAAGCAAATAATACAAGCCTGACAATATTACCTTATGAATTTAGACAAATGATAAACATTTGCATCATAATGAAGTATTTATGGTCTTAGTTTAACTTCTGTACTGCATATTTCAAAAATCTGTCATGATTACTGTAGTAAGATTTTACTAACTCTTCTATCTCATCTTGAAATATATTTATCACTGGCTTCAAGGACTTTCAAAAACTGGTTGCAGCTCTAAGTTTTTAGAGGCAAAACAATAATATAGATTTCTCTTTTTCAAAAAACTTTTCTACCATTCCATAAAGCTAAAAGTTCTGAATAGACTATGACAAAGTTTAGCTTAATATTTCCTTATTTTTTAAGCAAAGCTCAGTGAAAATCTTAGATAAATGTAACAATTATGTATAAGCATATACTATGAAAAACTCATTTATTATAGGATATCAATAATGACTTTTGACCTTCTCACAACTTATGATATGTTAGTGACTCTCCTGGGGATGGATATTGGAGAGGACCTTTATGGTGGCATTTCAGAGCCACTGAAAGGAAGAAAGTTAAAAGAGGAATCTGAGACCAAACTGGAGATGCTGAAAAAATCAGCCTGCTGGAAAAGAATTAAAAACAAAGACGTGAACAAAAGGAAAAGAATGGAGCTGGAGGGAAACAAGATTGGAATTCAGGTTCTGGATCGAGGGAAGTGATGAAAGGGTGAGAGTATCCAGGATGAAGGTGGGGAGAGGAGCTGGATGGAGGAAAGGACTATTGACCTGTGGTCAAAGCTGGGTCAGATGAAATGAGTAGATCCGGGGCCTTGAAAGATAAGGGCCTCACTTCTCCCAAATACCTGCAGAGTTGAGAGTGACCATTCAGTGTGGGCTGGGAATTGAAAAACGACTACGAGACACGACCGTGATGCAGGGTGTCAGGTTGGGGGTGGTCTCGTGACTAGGAGGGTGATGCAAACAAGGAGCACGTGAAAGGGACTTCAGAATGCCTAGACCAGGTAGCAAGGAAAAAGAGTACAGTGAGGCAGTTTGTAAGTTACCTCAGCTATATACAGTACCCCAATTGTGTATGTATGTGTGTACCCCAGGATTCTCTTACTCAGTGCCCAGCTGTGATTTGAAAAGGATGAGTTGACCCAAATGAGCGGTGAAGGGAACACCAGAGCAGAACGATTAAGGGAAAGGCTGGAGTTCCATGGGGTACAGTCTTTCAACCATCAGTTGGTCTCTACCATTCCCCGTCTCACTTTGTTCCCCTGATGTAGCTCGCCAAAAACAATCACAATAATTCATGCTAGAAATGTCCTTGGACATGGGAAATGCTATATTTAAATTCTGCACAAGAGTTAGCCTGTGCTCCGCATTTCCCCGCCCTGTCTGGCCCAGTCTGTTTCTGACCTTGCCCCCACTGTTCTCCCCTCACCTGCCACCAAGCACCCATGGTCACCACCGCCCCTCTTTGTTCCTATCAGGCTCCTTGCCACTTCCAACCTCCATGTGCTATCCCTCTGCCCAAACAAAGAGGGTGGAAAGCGGGATGTCGTGACACACTGAGGATATTTTAAAAATGCAAAGTGTTGTTACATATTCTTTGGCAAAAAAAAAAAAAAAAAAAAAGGGAGGCAGAGGATAAGAGTAGTGTTAAACGAATAATCTGTACTTGCAATTATAACACAGTACAGGCAGTACGTAAATCAATTGTACTCCTAAATGCTTTCTATAACCTCAGTGAGTAGGTACTTTTAAATGTAAATATCTCCTGAATTATAATTTTTCTAGTTTATAAATGAAATGTTACAACTACCCTTCCTATCTACCAGCTCCAAGAGTTTAACGAGTACCGCATGTGTCATCTGTAAATCAGTGGGTTATGTCATAGTATTGCTTTATTTCTAATATTACGTTTGTTAGTATAGCTCTTAAATGTTTCACTGAGGTGCAGCATGGTATTTATACTATTTATCTTATGTCTTTTCCTTTACTAAGCAAAAAAAAGTTTCTTTTTTTTTCCATAAAGATTTTGGTGTATTATTATGAGTTCAGGTGAAAAAGAATGAGGGGTGTACAAATATTACGTATTCATAATAATTCAAAATAATTTAAAAAATACTATTTTAACCTAAATACCGAAATGGGAGAGGACCAGGAGGTATAACTGTAACACAGTGACTAACGTAGGCGTATACTTAAAATGAAAAAGGGAAAACTCAAGCAAGAAGAACCGACGCCAACTCACTTGTCTCTACCACATCGAACTTCATCCTGCTCCTTGGCCTGGCGTCGCCGCTGCCTGGCAGATGTGGTGGAAGATGCTGATAACGTCCCAGACTCAGAGTCCTCTGGACTTTGGTTTCCAGAGCTATTAACATCAAAAAGATGCTGTTCTACAGCTGACCGGATGGTTCTTTCTAAGAGTCTGTAGAAAAGAACATGGAGTCATTTAAGCAATCCAGTTTGTCAATGATTGCCATCAAAAATGTGTGCCCATAATTTTGGAAATACTTGTATTTCCAGAAGGAAGATCTTTAGAACTTCATGAGTAAAAGCAGAGTATGAGGCATTAATCTAAAAAATACTTGTATCCTGTGTTAAAAACAAAACTAAACTGAACAAATTTGACCAGTTTGATAACTGTTTCTCATCTTTGTGAGTCCAGGATTACTGAAATGCGCATGGCAAGCCTAGTGACAATTATGAGGCATTCAGGAAACAAGGGTCATTTAATATAAGGAAGAATGAGGAAAATAATTTTTTCCCCTCATAGAATAACAACGGCCCTATTCTTACAAAGGTGAGTTTCCTCCAGATTTCATACCAGTTCTTGAGAGAAAGACACAGTATGATTTGCAAAGCAAACTAGCACAAATTATTTTATGATACACATTATCTATTTAGAATCCCCCTTAAAGATAAAAGTATACTGGGAATAATGCTATTTGGGGAAAAAAAACCTCACCAGAAAAATTACAACTCATAATAGATGGCATAATCTTTCCTAACCTCTATTCAATTAAATTGTGATGTGTGTGTTTGTGTATGTATGTGTGTGTGTGTGTGTGTGTGTGTGTGTGTGAAGCTGTATTCATGAAAACACCCCATGACCCCATGACATATTGAAGTTGGAAGGATAGATTTACTGTGTTCAACCTGAGGAAAACAAGTAAGCACAAAGGGCTGAAAAGAATGCATGATAAGATATAAATGGCATCATTTTTAAAGCTGCAGAATCTTTTAATGTGTCTATAAACCTTCTCCTATCATCATGTAATTTAATTCTGAATAAGCTGGTTTGGAAAATGCTTAACTGATACTCCTCAAAGCATGTTTTTCTTCATTTGAAAAAGAATCACATATATATTTGTTAAATGCTCAAGGCTAACAAGTAGCATTTACTTAAATAAAATGGGCTTTGAGAATTTAAAGAACTTTAGATTTTCCAAATGCAGTTTTATAACAGACTCATAGTTACTTCATTCAAGTTTTATTAAATATATTTTAAGACGATGAGCAAGTATAGTTTAATTAACTTAGGCATTAGAATTCTTATATTTAGAACTCTGTGTCCCTAATGATTCAAGATTACCTAATTAATAGTGGTATGGAGGAATGTGAGTAAATTAATATATACATAAGGTATGTACATAATAAATAAGATGTTCATAAGGAAGCCATAAGGTATATTAAGTCAGATTGGCTTCCTATAACATACCAATCATATAAATGAAACTGAAATATTCATCCAGACTAAGTCCACATCTTTTCCAAACTATACAAGACATATAAGAAGGAAAGGTTACCAGGAAACAAAAAAGGCAAGAACATCAGTCAGTCTTGGTACAGTTCTAGAATCTCTTTAAAATTGATAAAAGGAAGAGAGGTTAATCCTGCCCTCTCATTGCTTTCTTACCCAACAGTGAAGGGAAAAAAATCCAAATCCATCCTGCTAGATCCAAATTCATTCCAATTAGTGCTGCTTCTAATTTTTCTCTCGTCCTTCTTATCACATCAATCCTCCTCACCTCCTACACCTGATCCTTGCCAAGAGAAGATGCTTCAAAAAGGCCCACACATGTCCCAGCAAGAAAGGAAAAGAGGTAGGTGTGAAAGAAACACCTTTGGGCAAGAAGCTATTTGTTCAGCCCATTCGACAAATATTTATTTAGTGCCTAATATACGCCAGGCACTTTTCTAGGAGCTAGGGAGAAAGCAATGAACACAACAGACAAGGTTCCTGTGTTTATGGAGCTTACATTCTTATAGGGCAAGACAGATAATAAACAAATAATGTAATTTCAAATAGTGATAAATTCTCTAAAACATCGAGTAAAGTGTTGGAGAGTGAATGTGGGTAATCGGGAATAGATTTCTGGAAGAGATGACGTTTGAACAAACAGTCAATGATAAGAAAGTCTGGCCAGGCTGAGGAACAGCCAGTGCAAAGGCTTTCAGGCAAGAACAAGCTTGGCCTCGTCCAGGAACAGGAAGTCACGTGGCTGAAGCATAGTGAACAATATGATCAGAGAGGTAGGCAAAGGAAGATAACCGAAATCTAGACTTAGTTTAAGTGCCAGTGGAAGCCTTTTGGAGGAAAAAGACACGAGATGGCATAATTAAGAGAACACCGCCACTTTCTCCTGTGGAGAAAGAACTTGCTGCCATCACTAATTTGCATTCTTTTCTACACTCCTATTAGATTATAAAATCCCTGAAGGCAGAGCCCAAGGCTTATTTGACATTGTACACCTAACACTGTGCTTAGCATGCTACAGGCACTCAGTGAACGCTGGCTCGACAAAATGAACAAAGTAGGAAATAAAGACATTATTTTTAATGAGGAAAGCAAAAAAGCTCACATTTTCAAAATGTTAGAGTTGACTCTAGGCACACATACATGGAAGCTCAAACAGGAACACTTCTTATTTAGTCCTCCCCTCTGTATAAAGTTAGTTTCAGAGTCCCTGGTTGCTTATTGTCTTAATCTTCCATTACTGTACACCATTAGAATTACTTTTTTTCTGTTTAATAATGGGAAAGGGCATTAGGAAAAAACCCAAAATACAAAAACCCAACCCAGATAACTTACTCTTCAGTTGTGGAAACATTGCTGACTTGGGAGACGTGAGCACTGCAGAGAAGAAGCAAAGAGAAAGAAAGTCAGGTTAGATGAAAGATTAGAGATGGAAAATGTTTAACCATCCACTGACAGATACTCATTTTCTAGAAAATGAGATGGTCTTGGTTGCTTATTCCTGAACAGTGGCCTTTTCTTCTTTTTAAAGTCCATGGCAGATTATTCCGCAACTGATCTTGGAAAATTGTCTCTTAGCTCTCAGCCTACTGCCACAGCCCTGGTTCAGGGTCCTAAAATGTTAGTTCAATTGCTGCTGACTGCCTTATTCTCATCACCTGCTCTCCCCAGTCCAAATCCGTCCCCTGCCTTCACCCCTCAGGCCTGTAGACAGAGCATTTTCCTAAAACTCTGCTCTGAACACGTGGAGGGCAGCAGGGAGCACAGGCACAGAGAACAAGGAACCAAAATACTGTTTTCTATAATGCATGACTATGTCTTTCTTTTTTAAAGCTCACAGCTGCAGGACTGTGACATGACTATTTCTAAACCATCTTTTCTAAGCCACCTTCTCTTCCTAAGTCTCTCAAGATGGAAAAGACCTCAAGCTTCATGATGTTTCATCTGAACACCTAATTTGCAACCCTGTTGTGGATTATTTACAGACTTACTTTATGTTTATAAACTACGTTCCCATTTTCTCTAAAGCCTGAATTCTTTTAAAAGTACTAAAAAGTGGTCAACATAAAGCAGAATGATAAAATTATATAACACTATGTGATGGGCATCCTCCAGAACTTTCTCCCTCATGCCTGCACTTATGTTCACATAACCACAATGAGGGTTGAGGCTGGCAGCTATTTTAATTGTATTAATAACTTCATTACATCCTCACTTTCTGCCCTCTAGTGTTTAGTCGGCTTCTGAATTAAGATTTAAAAGTGTCTATGCTTAAAAAAAGGCTTAATATTGAGCAGATTAAAGAAAATCTTTAGTCATGTCAAACTATTTTGCCTAATAGTTCTCTTTTTTCTTCCTTCTTTGTAGAAGATGCATGAAGAAAACTGAAACTGTTAATGACCAATATCGATAGTTGTCTCTCAACCACTCCAAGCATTCTAATTTATGCTGTGTAATTTTCAACATATGCATATGTTGCTTGGGAATCATCTGTCAGGTTTTTTCCCCTTGGCAGTATATATCTCTTCTCATTCAATTCAGAAGTCGAGTGCCCCAAAGGATTGCATGATATTTCTCACTTTCTATATATCTCTTCTCTTTCAATTCAGAATTCGAGTGCCCCAAAGGATTGCTTGATATTTCTCATTTTCTTCCATCACACTACCTATTACACCGCCACCTCATACCTTTTATAGTACTCATTATTCCAGAGGTGATCAGCAAACACAGACGCTTTAGACCCAGATAATTTTCTTGAAAGGTGCAGTTTTGTCATGATCATAGACTATAGCAAAATCTCAGAAAAACCATATACAATCATGATTGTGCAAAAGGGAAACTGATTTAAAGAGTCATTAAATAATAACTAACTAAATACAAACACCCTAACACCTGAGTACTTACTATGTTTCAGACACTGTGCTAAGTACTTTTTACACAGATTTTTTTTCCACTTATTGTTTACAATAACCTTATGAGGTAGGTACTGTTGATTTCCCTATTTTCAGATGAAGCAATTATAGAGGTTAAATAACTCGCCCACAGCCATGGAGGCAAGAAATAGATGAGCTGGGATTTAACAAAGAAAAGTTTTAGCTCAGAGTCTAAGCTCTTAATCACTACACTAGATTTGTCTTTCAATCCATTACTCACTTAAAGAAAAACACACTGGAGTCATCTTTGTATATCGAGGCCCGGACTTAGATATTTTACTTTGCTTTTAATCACAACCATTTTTCCTCTCCTTCACAAAGCCTGTTATTCATAGTGGTTCCCAGGCTACATAACCAACAATAAATCCTTTGCTGCTCTCTGTCTTTAACTGGAACAGACAGTTCTTGCTTTTGATGCTTTGTGGCTCATCCTCTGTAAACTCGACACTGTATAATTAACTCCTAGACTCCGCTTCTCAATACAGTCACACAACCTTGGTTTTGGGAGCAGGGACCAATGTGAATAATGACTCAGGGGAAAACCTAGAAGAGAGAAAAGAATGTAAATCTGCTAGATGCTAAAAAAACATTCCAGAGACCTATCATTAGCCAATCAGTCCCCCATGCTGTCTCAGAATGTGGAGATGTATTTTATTTTTGACCTGTTCTTCTTTTTGCCTATTAAAGCAGATTCTGATATTTTTATGTTCCTTTTTGTGGGGGAGGGTGAAGAAAGAAAGGCGAGGAAGAAAGAGACAAGGAACAACAAACACAACCAGATTCTGAGATTTCTAACTCTCTAACCAAGTGCTTCTCTAGCCTTAATATGCATAGGAATCACCCAGGACCTTGTTAATTCATAGACCAGGCATCCTCAAACTACTGCCCGAGGGCCATGTGCAGCCCGCCAAGGACATTCATCCGGCCCTCTGGGTGTTTTTGCTGCCGCTGCCTGTCCTACTTAGCAGCCGACTGGTCCAGGGCCCACAGTGCGCACTCTCCAACGGTCTGAGGGACAGTGAGCTGGCCCCCTGTTTAAAAAGTTTGAGGACCCCTGACATGGACTGTGATTCAGCATGTCTAATTCTTGGGAAGGGGAAACTGAGACTTTGCGTTTCTAATTGAAGTCCTCAGTGATTCTGATGCTGTTGGTTTGTAGAAGACACTTTGAGTAGCAAAGTTGAAAGCTCTAAATCCTTGCAACCAAAATTCCTTAAAACTGCAATTATTTAGATATCACAATAGCAATTTTTAAGCATTCTAATTTAGGAAATGAAGATATGACAAGAAAAACTCATACTAATCTTTAGTGAATGAAAGTCAACATATCAAACTTTCCCTCACAAGTTAAATAAAAATGACCTGAGCCATCTAAATCAGTTAAGAGCCTAAGAATGCAAAATTAATAAATCAGTAATAAAACCAAGTAATTAAATCATATTCATTTTTGCTAGTATATTTCTTTCAGCTCAGATTTATGATAAGTTTATAGTTTTATGTTTTTCATAGTCCTCTGGAATTTCTGATACATGTAACTTATACATAATTAAGTGTTCTTTGAATAGAATTTCTATATATAAAGTATTATGAAAAGAGTATATTTTCCATTGGGAATCAGAAAAGACAAGTTCTGGTCTTGGAGTTAATTAGCTGAAATCATAGGCAGGTTGTTAGTTAGACTGGCTGCTTGTGGTTGGTTTCTTCATGCAGAATGTGACAGGTTTGGCTAGTGATCTCTGTGGTTTTCTTTTAGCTCTAAAAGTTTATCACATTATCTCAGATTCAATTTTATTGCCCTAAAGTTTAAATCATTATAAAAGGTTATAGCTGCATATTTAGTTTTATGACATAGTATCATTTAAATTTATAGTTTATTGGATACCAAAATGGTCTTGGTCAGGTATCCAACTACCTCCATAATTCCTGTGGGATGAGCTTAATAATTCACCAATAACAACATTTCTAAGAATATTTAATGACAGCAATAGAGACTCAGTCCACAGCTATAGCTGACTCATGAAAGTAATTCTCAGATACTGAGAAAAAAGGCAATAAGCATTTAAACAGGCAAATAAGCTAAAGTGAAAGATATAAATTTCCTTCATTTGCATGTAGCTTGTTATTTTATCCTCTGCAGACAGCTAAGAATAATGAATTTTCTTCAGAGCCCTTGACTGATTTGCTAAGAAAATTTCTTACTTATGCACTATAAATACTTGGATAAGGAAAAATTCTTTTACTAATGTTGATAAAGCAAGTATTTAAAATGGAAAGAAATGAGCTCATGTGCAAACCAGCGTTATGGTCAAATTCATTACCCAAGCCTACTGTTAGTGATGATGCCACTGAAAATTCTATTGGTATGGTCATTTAAAATAGGTTGTAAGCCTACTCTGAAATATATTCTATGACATATTTAAATATCTTTAGTCTTTATTTCTATTAGCAAAACCCAAACTAAGTTTCCTTAAGCCAATTTTGTGAAGCAATATTGGTCTCTAAAATTTGCATGTGGTAAGATGCACAGATGCCTGTTGACAAGTGATTCTTTAATTAGATCTCAATGTGAATAAAGAATACATTTAAAAAGAAGTTTCAAATCTATAAAAACCAGACATCTTGAAAAAACATGTGTTGTCTTTTTTCTCTTATTTCAGTATGTTCTCCTCTGTGGCATACAAAATCCTGCAATATATTATTGTTTAATGGGAACCATGAGGTCTAACAGGATTATCAGTTTTTTCTAGAATATTTGCATTTACTCCATTTTTTAATGAATAAGCATTAAAAAGACAGTTATGTAATACTTGCTTGCTAAGGGTGAAGATCATATAACTTAATCATCAAAACAGCATGAAATTCTTAAATTGTCTATTTAACAAAACACAGTATTTTTAGAGTTACCTTAAAATAGTAAAAGTTGATACATAGTGTCAACATTATAAGGTGATTGTAACATTATTTCTTTGTAACTGCATAATGGCTTTCTAAATTGAATTTTTTCATGATTTTGGTTCATTCTTTATAGTGTCATACATTAAAAGAAATACCTTCAAACCTCGATATTTATTCCTTTTGATTTAACCTTTAGCTATGATCAGCATGTAGAAATTTAATGGAGCATTTATAGGTATTTAAATTTTGATAAAAGTTACATCATTCTTTTGCATCATCATTTTGGGCACAAAAAAGCCTCACAATTTGGTTTTATTTAAATGGTATACTATGCAAAATATACTAGAACATAAACTAGAAACATACTACAAGGATATGACTCAGTAGGAGGGAAATACTTATTCTCAGACTTTTTCTAACTTCACACTTTTATTCCTTTAAATATTAGGCGAGATTTGAAGGAAAAAACTTATTCTTCATGGCTATATCTTAATACTCTATTAAATATTTTCTAACAAATATAGCCCATCAAAATGTCAGAATATCCAT